GACGTTCCGGGAGAAGTCGCGGATTATCCAGGAGGTGGAGGAGAACCCGGACCTGCGCAAGGGCGAGATCGCGCGGCGCTTCAACATCCCGCCGTCCACGCTGAGCACCATCCTGAAGAACAAGCGCGCCATCCTGGCGTCGGAGCGCAAGTACGGTGTGGCTTCCACCTGCCGCAAAACCAACAAGCTGTCCCCCTACGACAAGCTCGAGGGGCTGCTCATCGCCTGGTTCCAGCAGATCCGCGCCGCTGGCCTGCCCGTCAAGGGCATCATCCTCAAGGAGAAGGCGCTGCGTATAGCCGAGGAGCTGGGCATGGACGACTTCACCGCCTCCAACGGCTGGCTGGACCGCTTCCGCCGGCGGCACGGTGTGGTGTCCTGCAGCAGCGTGGCTCGCGCCCGGTCGCGCAGCGCTGCCCCCCGGCCCCCAGCAGCACCGGCCAGCCCGCCTGCGGTGCCCTCGGAGGGCAGCGGCGGGGGTACGACGGGCTGGCGCACTCGGGAGGAGCAGCCGCCGTCGGTGGCCGAGGGCTACGCCTCCCAGGACGTGTTCAGCGCCACCGAGACCAGTCTGTGGTACGACTTTCTGCCCGACCAGGCCGCAGGGATGTGCGGAGGTGATGGACGGGCGCGCAGGGCCACCCAGCGCCTGAGCGTCCTGCTGTGCGCCAACGCCGACGGCAGCGAGAAGCTGCCCCCCCTTGTGGCCGGCAAGTCGGCCAAGCCCCGTGCAGGCCAAGCCGGCCTGCCCTGCGACTACACCGCCAACTCTAAGGGTGGTGTTACCACTCAGGCCCTGGCCAAGTACCTGAAGGCCCTGGACACCCGCATGGCTGCAGAATCTCGCCGAGTCCTGCTGCTGGCCGGCCGCCTGTCTGCCCAATCCCTGGACACCTCTGGCCTCCGGCATGTGCAGCTGGCCTTCTTCCCACCTGGTGCCGTGCAGCCGCTGGAGCGGGGAGTGGTCCAACAGGTGAAGGGCCACTACCGCCAGGCTATGCTGCTCAAGGCCATGGCTGCGCTGGAGGGCCAGGATCGCTCAGGCCTGCAGCTGAGCCTCATGGAGGCCCTGCACTTTGTGGCTGCAGCCTGGCAGGCAGTGGAGCCTTCGGACATAGCTGCCTGCTTTCGTGAGGCTGGCTTCGGGGGTGGCCCTAATGCTACCATCACCACTGCCCTCAAGAGTGAGGGGGAAGAAGAGGAGGAGGAGGAGGAAGAAGAAGAGGAAGAGGAGGAAGAGGAGGGTGAAGGGGAGGAGGAGGAGGAGGAAGAGGAAGAAGGCGAGGAGGAGGAAGGAGGAGAAGGAGAGGAACTAGGGGAGGAAGAGGAGGTGGAAGAGGAGGGTGACGTTGATGACAGTGATGAAGAGGAGGAGGAAGAGGAGGAGGAGAGCTCCTCTGAGGGCTTGGAGGCTGAGGACTGGGCCCAGGGAGTAGTGGAGGCTGGTGGCAGCTTCACAGGCTACGGTGCCCAGGAGGAGGCTCAGTGCCCTACCCTCCATTTCCTGGAAGGTGAAGAAGACTCTGAGTCGGACAGTGAGGAAGAGGAGGAAGATGAGGATGACGAGGATGATGAAGAGGATGAAGATGACGAAGATGAGGAGGAAGATGGTGATGAGGTGCCTGTGCCCAGCTTTGGGGAGGCCATGGCTTACTTTGCTATGGTCAAGAGGTACCTGACCTCCTTCCCCATTGACGACCGCGTGCAGAGCCACATCCTCCACTTGGAACATGATCTGGTCCATGTGACCAGGAAGAACCATGCCAGGCAGGCCGGAGTTCGGGGTCTTGGACATCAAAGCTGAGCCACTGGGCCTAGCCATGCCCCTGACTTGGATGTGGCAGTACCAGCCCAGGGCAGAGGACTCTCCGGCAGCCACTGTGGGTGGAACCAGAGTGGGGAGCCCCAGATCCTTTAGTGATGTTCTCCTGGCCCTGTGACAGGCCCAGTCACCTCGGTAGGGCCCGAGGCTGGGGTCAGCCTCACTGCCTGCTTATTGCCTCTTTCTCAGAATCCTCTTTCCTCCCCATTTGCCCCTGGGCTTGGGGGACCAGGTGGGGAGGAGTGGGGAGCTGTCCGGTGCTACCACACCGTGCCATCAGTGGACTAGGCCACAGCAGCAACCAGGGATGGGCCCTGGAAGCTCCCAGCCGGAGAGTGCCTCTCCCCTCTGCCGTCCACACCAGGTCTTTGGTGGGGGGGACCCCAAAGCCATTCTGGGAAGGGCTCCAGAGGAAAGTCCAGCCTAGGCCCCCACAAGGCTGGCAGCCCCCACCTTGCCCCCGGGCCACCTTGAGAAGCACAGTCTAACTCACTTCAGGCTCCTGAGCCTGTGTCTGCCTGCTTCCCCACCTCCCCAGTCCCATTTTCTGGCCCAGTCCATGTTACTTTGGCTCTTGGTTTTCTTTCTAGATTGGAGGTTCCGAAGAGGCCCTTCAGAGGAGTGATAATGGGCGCTTCCCTTGTGGGCAGCTGCAGGCCCCATGCCTCTCCCTCTCTGGCAGGGCCCTATCCTGGGTAGGGGGTCTGGGGCTGGGCCCAGAGTCCAGCCAACCAGCTGCTCCTTTCCCAGTCTGAATTCAATAAATCCGTCCACCCCCCTTTTGTGGGGGTGAACATTTTAACAGCCAAGGGTGCATCCTTCATGGTCTGGGCTTGCGTCTGTCTTGGGGACATGTCCTCTCCTGGTTCTCTTTGGTCTTTGCTCTGGTGGGACATGGAAGCAAGTGTTGAGAGGGTGGCCACAGCCCTGGACCTGACTGGGGTGAGGGGCAACATCCATATCTAGATGTATCTAAGCTTGAGAAGGAAGGGGTCTTCAGTGCACCTGCCTGGGAGTGGGTTTGAGGAAGCCGAGCCTTGCAGTGTTTTGGGGTTAGAGAGAAACTTAGTGTCAGATGGCTGGGACAGGAGGAAGAGCCAACAGTCCCTGCTGGGCCAAATTGAACTATTGGCACCTGGGAACTATGCCTAGCAAGGCCCATTAAAGAAGGGCTTTGCAGGAGTGGGGCCAGAAGGCAGAAAGAAAGGGGAGTTGGGGCAGCTCCTGTGGTCCAGGTTGGACTTTGGAGGGGCATACAGGGCATCAGTTGGTCTGCCTTTGGTGCCTGAAGAGGGCATCCTTTAGGCATTTCAGTGATTGGCATCTCCAAGCCTGGCGGCTGCCTTGGGGACAGTGGCAGGAGGAGGGTGAAATTGCTGGCTCATGAACTTGTTGGGGACAGATCGCACCCTCAAGAGGCTGAGGATGAGTTGGCAACTCCCTCCAGTCCAAAGGTGAGGACTTTGCTGATTGTACCCCCTTTCTCCTTTTAGGGCCAGCATCCCCCCCCCCCCAGAAGGGCGGCGATGGAACAGCTGCAGCTGGGTCAGCGTTTGGGGGGAGGGCGGGGCCTTCACTGAGGACCCCCCCCCCCCCCAGGCCCACCCCCGCCTTCCCCAGGCCTGCCTTCATTGAGGCCCTCAGGCCCCAGCAGGTCCAGCTAGGGGCAGGCCTGAGCTTGAGCAGGACAGGCAGCTCTGGGCCCCAAACCGGTTTTCCCACCTAGGCTGGGGCTGGCACATCGTCCTGAGGTTCCCTCCCCCCACCTCCCTGCAGTTCCTCCTGTCTCATCCCTGGAATGTTAAGGGGGTGATATCCGGGTCATCTTTTGTCCCTGCCTGCCTTGGGTGTGGTCCCATCTAGAAAGGCAAGGCTACTATGTATTACTTTTAAACAAAAATGTGGGGTGACTCTTCCACACTTGGCCTTCCACACTCCTGGCACTCAGGGATCCCCTCCACGCCATGAAGGCTTTGAAACTAAGTGACAGCAAAAAGTAGTTGGGATTCCCCTCCTGCCCCCACCCCATCTGAGCCCTGGAGGAGGAAACCAGAAAGCCATAAGGAAGCCTAGCCTTCCCCCTTGGCCTGCTCTGGAGTAAATGGGAGCAGTAGCCTTCTCCCCTGGTGTCCTTCACCCAAGTCCCTCACCTCAAATACCAACAAGGCGAATCACTTCCATGTGTCTCCTGCTGACAAGAACACCTCTTTTACTGGAACTTAGATCATCTCATGAATGATAACACCAGCTGATGTTAATAGGGCTCTTGCTGGGTGCTAGGCTCTGTGCCAAGCACTTTGGGTGCTCATGAAACCCCTATGAGGTGGGTAAAACCATGAGAAAACAGGCACAGATGGGTCCAGTAGTGTTCTCAAAGCCGTACCACTAGTCAGTGGCAGAAGCAAGCTTTCTCCCCAGGCTGACCCTAGAAGTGTCCCTTCACTGCTACTCTGTACCCTTTCATTAAGTAACGACCCATATTCCTAACCCTCCTAAACATAGGGCTCTTTTAAAAAGGAACTGGTTACTGAAATCAATTTCTAACCCATGGAAGAAAAGCTCTCGGAGGGAGATGAGGGATGTGGAAGTGTCTACAGGAGCTCTTGCAGCTCCTGTACCTATGACCAACTACCATTCTCCCAGTTGCCATACAAATATAGGTCTTCTGTAAATGCCCTTCTCAATCTCCTTCCTTTTACCGCATTGGGACAAAGAGGTGAGAACCCTCCCCATTTCACAAAGGAGGATACAGGCTTGAGTTAAATGACCTGCTCAAGGCACTGGCCTTGAGCTCTGGTGTTCTCCTGGGAGTTGAGGTTACGTATCAAATGCCCCACCAGGACACTGCTGGGGAGTCGGGGAGTGGTGATGGACCTATGAGCACAGTTTTGAGGAGGGACCCAGCAAGGAGGCACTGTCACACACCTATCACACAGTCCGGATGGGGAGCAGCAGATGATTAACAATGGATCCTCAAATAAAGCTGACAAACATTGGGATGCTCCCTGCATTGGGGACTGATCGCTAAAGGACCCAGAAGGGGGATCCCAGCCCTGGGGATACTGGTGCAGTTCTGCAGGCCTGGTTGGCTTCGGCAGGTCCCAAAGTGGACCAGTGGCTGGTCAGCAGGTGGCGTGGGCGCAGAGGTGATTTCTTCTTGGGAGGCAGGGAAGACAAGGCCACCTAATCGCCTTTTCAAAGCTGGGGCCTCCAGAGGAGGTTGCGGGAGAAAAACTACAACTCCCAGAAGCCCCTGCTCCATGGCGAGTCACGGGTGGTTGCCGTGGTTTCAGAAAACAATATGGCTGCTCCCAGCTGGGAGGCAAGTCTCGGGATTAGAGAGGCAGAGTCAGGTTTGGGCGGCGGCAGTGGCGAGAGAGGAGGCATTTGAGGGGTCGTGAGGTTGGGCCTGGACGCTGCACAGCTGGAAGGGCCTGGCCTTGCCAAGGGCGGCAATGGCGGGCAGCGTGGACGAGGAGGCACTGCACCAGCTGTACCTATGGGTAGACAACATCCCTCTATCCCGGCCCAAGCGAAATCTCTCCCGAGACTTCAGTGATGGAGGTTTGCGCCCCAGTGTGTGTGCGCCTGTGTGTCCACATATTCTGCCCTGTATTATGGGTTGTAATTACTACATTACTGTCCTGTAAGGAGTCTGTGTGCATACACGTCTCTTTGTGCTTGTGTGCGTGTGTGGGGGGTGTGTTTGGGGGGTGTCTGACTATCTTCTAGGAATTCAATTGTAGAAATGTGTGTGTGTGTGTATTTCTATCTGCATTTGTGGGAATGTGTGTGTGTGTGTGTGTCCATACATATGTCTACATGTTCTATCCTTTATGCATGTGTGGGGTGTTTGTGTGTGTATGTGTCTCTGAGTGTGTGAGTCTGTGACTCCCTCCTGGGACTTTAATGACTAAGATGTATGTCTGTGTGTATTTATGCATCTCTCTGTGTGTGCACATTCATTGCTGTGTTGTATATGTCTGTCTTGTGGGATCTGAGCATGTGTGTGTTCAGATGTGTGTTGACACATTCTGTCCTATATGTATGTGGGGGGGGGTCTTGTGTGCATATGCGTTTCTTTGTGATTGTATAGATGTCTGTGTATCTAAGACTGTCTCCTGCGATTTTAACGACAGATGTATGCAGCTCTGTGTGTGTATATTGGTGCATTTGTGACTCGCTGTGCTTGTCTGTGTTAGTGACTGTCTCTTGGAACTCAAGTGATGGAAATATGTGTCTGTGTATGTGTTTGTGCGTCTCTGTGTGGTTTTGTATGTGTGTATATGCTATATGTGTGCCTGTGTGTCTAGAGACTCTGTACTATGTGTGTATCTGTAGAGGGATCTTATCACATGTATCTGCTTGTGTGAGTCTGTGACCCTCTCCTGGGACTTTGGTGTTGGAGTGTGTGTGTGTGCTTGTATATCCATGTGAATTCCTAGTGGGAGGGCCCAGGCTCCTGAAGGGCTCTCTTGGAGACTCATTCTCTGCTAGAGGACCAGAGATCTCAGTTTTCATATGCCCTGAGTTAATGGCGAGGGAGTGCAGCTCCTCTGGGATATGCTGGAGGCTTAGTCTCTGGCTGATCACTGATCTCACTTTCTTGCCTCCTCCTCCACTACCTCTTCCTCCCTATCATCATTCCCCTTTCCATATCTCCACCTCTCCACTTGGCCCCACCACTCTGCCACCCCTGATTCTCCCACCCCACCCATTTCTTCTCCTTCCCCCTTTTCCCTTACCCAACCCACCACCTTCCATATCTGCTCCCACCCCCACTCCCTCAGTCCTGGTCGCAGAGGTCATCAAGTTTTACTTTCCCAAGATGGTGGAGATGCACAATTATGTCCCTGCCAACTCTCTTCAGCAGAAGCTCAGCAACTGGGGTCACCTGAACAGGTAGCAGAATACCTGGGCACACTAATGGGAACTGCAGGTCCTAGCCGGGATCCTAGGAAGGGCTGCCCCAGCCCCTCCACCTCCTATGGTCTCTGCAGTGCAGGCTGGGACTGTGTTGGTTTCAGGGAGGGGAAGGACGATGTAGACAAAATCTGTCTGGTAACAAAATCAAGGGACTCTTCTATTGGGGAGGCAACAAGGAACCTGGGCACACCCAAGAACGGGCTCAGATGCATGCCTTTCCATTCCCCCAAGGCTGTGCACTCAAGGACTGCAACCGCCACACCTTCTTTCTTCCTCCCACCCCCTCACTTCATTCCCCCATGACCCAGTCTGCCATCCCTGTGTCTACCCCGCAGGAAGGTGCTGAACAAGCTGAACTTCTCGGTACCAGAGGACGTGATGCGCAAGATCGCGCAGTGCGCCCCAGGCGTGGTGGAGCTGGTGCTCATTCCCCTGAGGCAGCGCCTAGAGGAGCGACAGAGGCGCAGGAAGCAGGGCGCTGGCTCTTTACAGGTGCCACCCCACTCAAGCTTCTCCCACTGCTCTGGGGGGAGCTTCCCAGGCAGCAGAAAGCCCCCCCTTGGCCATCTGTGTGGGAGAAGGGTGCTTGGCCAAAGGGAGCCTGGCCTGGGGGACCGCAGATGGGCAATGGGGCTCCTTGGGGATGGGCAGCCCGAGCTCACAGTAGACCCCCGGGGCGTTCTTTCAGGAGCTGGCTCCCCAGGATGGCACTGACTACATGGATGTGGGTAAAGTGGCCTTTACTTTTCCTTCCTCCCAGGAGGAGCTTTCCTCCTGTTCTTTCCTCCTCTGGGGGCAAGGGGGTGGGGAGAGAGGAAGACAGGAAAATAGGACTCCAGCATGGTTACTCCTCCTCTTGCTTTGTCTCAGGTTTGTCCCAGAAGGCCCCGGGGGAAGGTGCCCCAGACCCCCAGGGAGGGGGGCAGCTCAGGTAAGGAGGCTGGGAGTTCCTGACCTCACCAGGCCCAGTGATCTCCCAACATAGGGCTGGGAGGTGAAGGTGGGGGCAGGTTGCGCCTGGAAAGGTAGGGAAGTCAGGGATGGGGAAGGGGACAGTGAGAGGTGGGAGGGAAGGCCTGACTGAGGGACAGGTGAGGGTAGGGCCCAAAGTCCAAGCCTTTTCTAAGCTGCCTCCCATCCCAGGGCAGGCCGGCTGCCAGCGCCGCGGCCTCCAGGATATAGCCAGGCGCTGCAGGGCGACCCAAGCTTCGTCCTCCAGATCGCTGAAAAGGAGCAAGAGCTGTTGGCCTCGCAGGAGACTGTGCAGGTGAGGGCGCACTAGGAAGGTGCAGAAAGAGGGAGGGGGCTGGGAGGGGAGTGGGGCTTGGAGCCTGGAGAAGCAGGAGCAGAGGGGCAGAGGGCCGCCAGGCTTAAAACCTCTGCGTGACGTAGGTCCTGCAGATGAAGGTGAGGCGTTTGGAGCACCTGCTCCAGCTCAAGAACGTGCGCATCGACGACCTCTCCCGGCGGCTCCAGCAGGTGGAGCGTAAGCAGCGGTGAGCGGCTGCCCGGGCCATGTGCGGGCACGTACCAGTACCCGCCAGAGCCCAGACGCTGCGACCGACGCACCCACCGACGGACCGCGCAGACGAATGGGTGGGCGGAGCCAGCAGCTCCAATAAGCCTCCTGGGGCACTAGCGCCCCTCTCCCTTGGGGTGGGGCTAAGCGTGGGGGGAAGTGGGACGGGAGCCCTCCAAGCGAAGCCCCAGTCTGAGCCACCTCCTTCCACTCCATCGGGGTCAGGAGAATGGACCGCTTTCCAGAACCCAGAAGCCACATGCAGAGACCTGGCGTGTCCCCCAAAGCAGTGCCTGACAACGAGGGCTCCGCTTTGGCGCTCCCTGCGCTGGGCCTTGTGGGGCGGCCCCCTGGCTCAGTCCACACCCCTAGAAGCGGGTCCCTGCCCAGCTCTGAGGACAGCAGCGTCTCCATCCAGGCTGATTCTTCACACCCTGGGCCATGGGGGAAGCTGCCCCAGGCAGCTGCGGGACTCCCTTACCCTTCCTGGGCACTCGCCTGGGACCCAGCTCAAGGCTGGAGAGTGCAGCAACTGGAGAGGAAGGGGTGAGGAATGGGCTCAGCCAGGAGGGGGGAAGACATAGCTATGCCTCTACCAATGGCCCTCCCCTTCCACTGCTACTGTTGAGAATGTTTGGGGGATATGGGACAGGGCTGCCCCCATTAAAGGTGTTGTGCTCTTTCCTGCACCTGCCTTCTCTCTCTGCCTGGATCCCTGAGAGTAGCAAGCTCCTGCCCGCCTTGTGCTGCCTCCCACTCCTTAAGTGAAAGAACCTTGTAGGCCCAGAGTGGGTCTCACCTTGCGCGCAGGTGGGCCCCGCGTGGCCACTGCTTGGTAGGTTGATGATATCACAGGTGTCAGGTCTTGTGTACTAGGACAGCCTGACTTCTAACTCTGGCCTTACTGACTCCCAAACCCACCCTCACAGTGTCCTCCAACCCTGTCCAAACCCAACCCCAAACCCAGGCTTCAGATTCTCCCCAGATGTAGCCACACACTCACCCTCAACCCTTCCCAAGGACTGACCCCTAAATCTGTCCTCTGTATGACTCTCATAGACTGATCCAACCCTGCCCACAGACTGATTCCAAGTTCTGTGGACTGAACCCAAGCTTGACTCCCAACCTTGACCAAGACACCATGGCCATGGTGTGACCCTAACTCTGACCATTTACTGACTACCAGTAACATTGAACATTTGTAAATCCTGAGACCAGGGAATTCTACTCCTAGGCGTAAACTCAGCATATACCCCAGGGAAACTCAATCTCTTGTGTTCTGTGTTCTGGGACACATGTACAGCAATGTTCATAGCAACACTCTTTGTAATAGCAAAAGAACTGAAAAGAACTTGTATTATCTATTACCATGTAACAAATTACTACAAATGTAATGGCTTAGAACAGCATACATTTATTATCTCATATTTTCTGTGGGTCAAGAGTCCAGGCATGGCTTAGCTGAGTCCTCTGCTTCAGGGTTTCTCACAAGGCTGCAATCAAAGTATTGACCAAAGCTGTGGTCTCATCTGAAGGCTAGACTGGGGAAGGACTCACTTCCGAGTTCACTTGGTTTTTGACAAATTCACCTCCTGTGGGCTGTTGGCCTGAGGGCTTCAGTTTCCTGCTGGCTGTTGGCTGCCCTCATTTCCTTGCTATGTGGCCATCTCCAGTATGGTAGTTTACTTCATCAAAGCCAGCAAAGGAGAGAGTTAACAACGTCTGCTAGCAAGATAGAATTTACAATCTTACCTAATGTAATCACAGAAGTGACATCCATCACATTTGTTGTATCCTGTTTATTAGAACTAAGTCACTAGGTCTAGCCCTCATTTGAGGGCAGAGGTACACATGGATGTGAGTACCAGGAGGCATGGATTATTTTAGAAGCTGTCAACCACAAGGAGGAAAAAGCAATGAAAGGATAAAATCTAGGAGAGTGGTTACCTCTGAAAGGAAGCAGAGGGCAGGGATGCAAGAAGCACATGAGTTATTTGTAATGTTTTAGTTCTTGGGGCAGGTGGTGGGTTTATAGGTGTTCATAAGTGGGCTGTTTATGGACAGTATGGAGAGTGTCATGAAACAAGGATATGTGTAGTCCAGTTCTGCTCATCTGACTTCCTAAAATAATAAATAAAAATAAAAATTGTTGACTACTCCTGACCTTGGTCTGAGCCCCTTCCCTGCACTTAGCCTGGTCGTAGATTAACATCAGCTTCAGCAAGACCCTCTGCCTTCCTTTTTTTTTTTTTTTTGAGGAAGATTAGCCCTGAGCTAACATCTGTTGCCAATCCTCCTCTTTTATTGCTGAGGAAGATTGGTCCTGGGCTAACATCCGTGCCCATCTTCCTCTACTTTATATGGGATGCTGCTGCAGCATGGCTTGATAAGCAGTGCACAGGTCTGTGCCCAGGATCCGAACCTGCGAGCTCTGGGGCCACCAAAGCAGAGCACGAGAACTTAACCGCTATGCCGGCCCGGCCCGACCCTCTGCCTTCCTTAACCACCAGCCCTTTACACATACTGATCCCAGCTCTAGCACCCTTCTCTCTCCATAGTCTGCACTGGGTCTCCAGAGTGGTTTTCTGAACCTTTCATCTATGGACCACATTTGTAGGCTCCTGTGTGTGGAGCTGGTGGGGGTAGGTTGTGGAGGGGCCTGGGGACCAGGAGATGGGGCAGGGCATGGTCCTGTCTGACAGGAGCACAGTGGGCCCAGAAGCAGGTTTGGCGACTGAGGCCCCCCACTCAAGAGTCTGCTGGCATCCTCCAGGGCAGAGACTGGGCCAGGTCCTGGAAGTTCCTTTTCGTTGAGTACCCCGCTCCCTATTCCTAGTATCTAGATACGCCTGAGTCTGTCTCAACCCACAATCATAGCTCAAAACCCTAAAAGCTAAACCACAAAAGCAGTGGAGCATTTTACTGAATGTTTCTTGGGAATAAATGTGAAGGTAGATAACATCACACATTATAACTCTATAACTCTTCTTTAAACATCTCTTATTCCCCAAACTTTCCCTCTGACAGCCACCCCTACCCCCGCCCACTGCTCCTCCTCACTACCCTCTCCCCTTTCTGACCGATGCTAAATCTGATTTCTTCTGGTTCATTCATTCATTCCTTCATTCCTCAAATGTTTATTGAATGTCTACTATGCACTAAATGCCAGGAACACAAAGATGAGTTTATACATGATTTGTCTCCCTCAGTGTTCACAATTGTAGAAGGGGAGAAGGCAGGTAAAAAGGTATTCAAAAATTTTTGTTACTTAATGTTTTGAATAGATAAAACACAATTAAAAAAAACACATATAAAAAGTGAAAAGCCCTCTTGCCCCCTGCACCTCCAATAAGTATCCTTTATCTTTAGTTTTTGTGTATTCTTCCAGAGTGTGTTTATGGGAATACAAGCAAATATGCTTATGTTATATGTTATCTTCCCTCTCTCTCCTTTTTTTTTAAACATTTTATTATTTATTTATTTATTTGTGAGGAAGATCAGCCCTGAGCTAACATCCATGCTAATCCTCCTCTTTTTGCTGAGGAAGACTGGCTCTGAGCTAACATCTATTGCCAATCCTCCTCCCTTTTTTTCCCCAAAGCCCCAGTAGATACTTGTATGCCATAGTTGCACATCCTTCTAGTTGCTGTATGTGGGACGCTGCCTCAGCATGGCCGGAGAAGCGGTGCATCGGTGCGCACCCGGGATCCGAACCCTGGCTGTTAGTAGCGGAGCGCGGGCACTTAACCACTAAGCCACAGGGCAGGCCCCTCTTTTTTTTTTTTTTTTTTTAACATAAAGGGGAAGCACACTCTGTCCTGCATCTTGATTTTCCATTCAACAAGATCGCTTGTAGATCTGTGATGGTCAATGTTATGTGCCAACTTGACTGGGCCACAGGGTGCCCAGATATTTGGTCAAACATTATTCTGGGTGTTTCTGTGAGGGTGTTTTTGGATGAGATTAACATTTAAATGGGTAGACTGAGAAAAGCAGATTCCTCTCCCTAATGTGGGTGGGCCTCATCCAATCAGTTGAAGGGCTGAATAGAATTAAAAGACTGACCTTCCTGTGAGTAAGAGAAAATTCCTTCTGCATGATGGCCTTTGAACTGGGACATCGGCTTTTCTTCTGCTTTTCAACTCGAACTGAAACATCGAGTCTTCCTGGGTCTTGAGCCTACCAACATTTAGACTGAAACTAAATCATCAGCTCTCCAGCTTGCTGACTCATCCTACAGATCTTGAAATTTGCCAGCCTCCATAACTCCATAATCGCATGAGCTACTTCCTTATAATAAATCAATCTCTATATCATCTATATCTGTATCTGTATCTATATCTATATCTATATCATCTATATCTATATACATCTCATTGGTTCTGTTTCTCTGGAGAACCTCAACTAATACAAGATTTTTTCATATCAGTCGGTCGAAAACTTCTTCTGTTTTTAAAGCCATCTAAAATTCTATTGTCTCTACCAAAGTTATTTAATCAGTCCTCTATTGAAGGACATTTGAGTTGTTTCTAAACTTTTGTTAATAACAATGCAACAATGAATAACCTCATACATTCCTAATTCAGTATTGTGTGCAAGTATATCTGCATGATAAATTCCAGAACTGGGATTGTTAGGTCAAAGAATACACTCATTTGTATTCTTGATATTGTGAAATCGTCCTCCACAAGGGTATGGCTCAGAGCAGAGGCTGAAGACTGGTGGCCTGCTGCCCTGCTTTGGTTTCCACAGTGTTGTGTTTTTACAAAATTAATTGCTAATTTTTATGCTGATGAGGATGTGAAGCAACAAGAACTCTCATACTCTGCTGATGGGAGTGTAAGTGAGTACAACCATTTCAGAAAACAGTTTGGCGGTTTCATACAAAATCAAACCTATGCCTATGCTATTGTATCAGTTAGGGTTCAATCAGAGAAGCAGAAAGGATTTGTTACAGGGATTTGACTTCAGGTAACTGTTCAACAGTCTCTGTAAGTCTGTCGTTTTTGCCTCTGATGCTGGAGCTTAAAGTTCACAGGTCAGGCAGCTGGGAAGGGAAGATGGATATAAAGTGGAGGAGAGAAAGGACAAGCTGGAATCCGCAAGGATAAGCTGGAACCCTTGAGGACAAAAGGGACCTTATGTCAGTTCCCACTGCCTGCAAACTTGATGATGTCAGTGTCCTGCAGGAAAAGCTGGTGCACTTTGTTATCTGGCCCCAGGAGTCAGAGAAGCTGAAGGAGGATCCAGGGAAAGGTGGAGCAGTTTCAGGCCTGGCTGCTACCCCATATCAGTGAGGTGAGCAGCAGATCAGCAACAAAGTGCACGGGCTACAAAGCTCCTGTCTAGACCTTGCGAGTGTAAAGGCCAATACAGCCACTGCTTTTCTTCCACCCTCCACAGCTCATGCAAAAGTGTCTGTTGTGGCCCACCCTAACTGGAAACATACATGGAAGAGAATTCTGGGAAATATAGTTTACCATAGCTAAGTTGACACATTATAAAGCCACCACAACTATGTTCCCTCAATTCCATTCCTCAATATATACTCAAGAGAAATGCAGACATATATTTACCAAGACTTGTACTAGAATATACAATACAGTATATACTATTTTTGTGTCAGGCTTCTTTTGCTCAATATTGTCTGTGAGAATCATCCATATTGTTGCATGTATTCAGTAGGTTGTTCTTTGTCATTGCTGTATAATATACCACTGATGAATATAGTGCACTTTATTTATTCATTCTAACATTGGTGGATGCTTGAGTTGTTTCCAGTTTGGGGCTATTACAAATGGTGCTGCAATGAATATTTGTATACATGTCTTTTGGTATAACTAAGAGTGGAATTGCTGGGTCATAGGGTTGGCATTTATCAGCTTTATTAGATACTTCCAAGCAGTTTTCCAATGAGGTTTACAGTTGTTTAATTTTTATTAAAAAGAATAGAATCTGGAATATCATGTGTTTGGAGCTGGAGTGGATGTTTTACATGTGCTTAACCTGTTTCCCTAACCTGGATTTGCTCCTAATTCCTTCCCATACTGCCCTCATCTCCAGGGAGCCTGTGACTTCCCTCAAACAGTTGTCTGCCTCTGGTAAGGCCCTTTGCACAGGAAGTCCCAGGGCCTGGGGACCACTTTGATGTTGGCACACCTTCTCCTTGGTACACAGGCCCACTGGGCTGTGATGGGGCAGCCATCTACCTTCTACTCTGACTTCTTCCTGGTTTGAAGAGTTTCATTTCCTCTGGGAGGTTTTTGGGAACCATCGGCACTTACTGTGGCCTTGGGGCTTTTCCCGGGAGCCTGTAGTATCCCCAGGCATGGGGAGCTCTGTATTACAGGTCCTCCCAGTTGGCCAGTCAGCCAGATTGCCCAGTGCCTGGGAGTGCGAGGAGTGTTAGGCAAACACAGGAGACCATAGTTCTTTTTGTGTGGTACACCTCCCACTCTCAGCTGTGAGTGCCTTTAACTCCAGGGCCTAGCACAGTAACTTGCTCATTATATACACTTAGTAAATATTTGTTGAAAGGAGTTGACAATTAGGAAATAGCCCCAGGCAGTGCACAGTTAGCAGCTAGTCTGTGTGTTTGAAAGAGCCTACACTAGGGATGGTTTTGAGAAGTTGGCTAAAAAGATGTAAAAAAGGCAGGCCTTAACCTGGTCTCCAAGGGAGCGTGAGTTTTGCCCATAAGAGGAGAGTAGGAAGGGCATTCCAGGTGGGAAGGTAGCATAAGGAGGGTATCATGAAATCAAATGTCTGCACAGACCCAGAAGGTAAAAGAAATGTGACAAAATAGGGATTGGTGGGGCATATTGATGTGCCAGCTTTTGGTGACAGGTTGGAATGTGAGTCCATGTTGTTAGATCTCCTGATATTTCAAAAGAAGAGGAAGAGAAGAAAGAGAAAGAGGAAGAAGAGGGAGAAGAGGAAGAATAATTAGAATTTTAAAAAGCTTCATGTGAACTAAACAAAATACATCAGCAGCCTGCTTTGGGCCCAGTGTCTGCCAACTTCAGACCCTGAAGAATAGAACAGACATGGGAATACAATTGGGGGGGAGCCATAGTGAGGCGCATGGAACCGTGGGGTTGGGTAGTAAGAAACCACCTGGCTGGGATCAGAATGTGGAACTCTCTCAATGCCCGCCCTGGAGGGCAGCATCTCAAACGCCAGAGTGTGCACGAATCACCCAAAATGCTGCTAAAAAGTTTGTGAAGCTCTGCTGGAGACAGTCCCAGAGCAGGGAGCGTGTTGGAGCAGAGGAAGACGCGGTGGAAACAATAGCTCAGGAAGACTAATTTGCCAACAGCGTGCAGACCAGAGACCAGAAGATAGGTTAGGGGCCACAAGGATCCAGCGGAGGGTAGGAGCCTTGGGGGCTCCCCAAAGAGCGACCTGGTCCTTCTGAAAGAAAGCTGGCCCTCAGCCGCGGCATGCCCTTTCTCCCCTAGTTACGTTGGAAGGAGGGAGCCGCGTGCTCCGGACGGTTCCTCGCGGGCACTTTAGGGGCAGCGAAATGAGGGGTGGAGGGGGTGTTGTTCAAGGGCACCTAAAGACCTGAGGGCCACGCCTCTCGCTCCCATGCCGTGTGCCTGTGCGCACATCCCACCCGGCGGCGCTTGGCTAGGCGCATCCCGCTGCCATGGCGACCGCCTCCATGGAGACCGGGAGCAGAGGCTGCGGTCCCCAGGGGCGCCGGCATAGGTTCTCTCAAGGCCCCACCCCGCGTGCCTTCTTTTTTCTGATACTTATCCCGGCCGCTGGGCTCCCAGGAAGCGTCTCAGGTCCGCGCGGGAGCGTTTCCTCCGAGGCAGGGGCATGGGGTGGAAGGGGAAGAGGCCGAAACCCGGCGGTCGCAGAGCGGGAAGGATGGAAAGGACCTAGCGATGCCCGTATCGATTGCCGATGCAGGCCTGGAAGCCTAAGGAGAAAGGCAACCTCATATGCCCCACCTAGCCCTGAGCCCTGCGTTACAGCCGCTCGAGGGAACAGAGCCCAGGGGACGGCCCCTTCCAAGTTGGCGCCGAGGCGGGAAGTGCAAACTCCACAGCTGCAGGTGGGAGGCGGGCGGGGCCCATTCGAGGCACTCCTCCCTTCCCTCTCTCCCTTCTGCCCCATGCTGGCCCCTGGCCATGACGGGCGGCCCGGCTGCCTTCATCGCGAGAACTCGCCCGGGCAGGCGTGGGCTCGCACGGCGCAGCCGCAGAGCCCCCTGCACGTGACGCAGTGGCGCAACGCCCGTTGGAGGTTCTCTAGCGCCCACTTATTGGTCCGAAGCCTCCTCGCCCCACCCCTTCGATCGACCAATGGGTGGAGGCAGGGGCGTGCCCGTGAGGAGGGCGGCGGCGGCGCGGGGGTCCCTCCTCGAGCTCGGCGTTGAGCCCCCGCTGCCGCCGCGATCGCCGTAGCCGCCGCGACCGCCGTAGCCGCCGCTGTTGTGTTTGCCCGTCCCGGCCGCAGAGTGCTCCCCGCACGGTGAGACTGCTCCTCCTCCAGCCACCTCCCGGTTCCACCCGGCTCCCTGAGATCCCCTCCCGGCCGAGCCGCTGTCCTAGGCAGTCGGTGCCTGAGACTCCAACGGGCCGGGGCGGGGCTCCGCTGTCGGGGCCCGGCCCAGGAGGGCTCCGTGGTACCTGAGCTGGGGAGATGTCAGGCCCCGGGGCCACGGGTGACGGTTAGCTGGTGGAGCCGGGGTGTTTTCCGCGGCGCGCTGTCGGGGGCACGTGTGACACAGTGAGGGCGGGGGCGTAATGGGGTCAGCGCCGTCAGCACCCCCCTTATTGTCACCACCTCTCTGTGTGAGCTTGGACGAGTAGCCTCTCTGAGCCTCGCGTGCCTCGGCACCCTCAGGGAGGAGAGCGGTGATGTCGGGGAGTGCGGGCTCCCAAGATTCCTGCGTCAGCAGAGGTGAGGGTGGGGAAGGCGCAGGATTATCTCTGAGGGACAGAGCCGCTGCCTCGAAGTCCAGGATGAGTGTGATGGGGGGAGACACGTCCAGCCGCCATCAGTCCCTTCAGAAGATGAGAATGGGGCGGGGATGGGGACGCCACACCCACGGGGATGGAGGCGGGAGAGGATACAGGGTCCTACACCGCGGTCCCTGCTACCTCTAGGGGCTTGGCCAGCACCTCCGCGTTGTCACGCACCAGGAGGGGTTCAATTTAGGTTCTGGACCACTGTTCCTGTTGGTGAGCAGGAGCCCTGCTGGACTGAGAAGGGAGGCCTTAGGTTGCCTTTCTTCTTGAATCTTGGCATTGGGAAGTGGGGGCAGGGCGTTTCTCTGCCCTGGGAGCTAAGAAGGTCAGGGGCAGCTGTCACCCCCTACACCTGGCCTGGCCTCTACTTCTTGGGGCCTCCAGGTGACAGGCCCAGGGCGGGGCCTGGGTGGGGCAGGCAGGTAGAGGCTAGAGGGGTCTAAGCACCCTCTAGCTGGGGCTGTGGGGGGGTTGTGGGGAAGGGATGCTGGGCAGGGCAGGGCAACACTTCTTGGGGAGACAGGAGAGTGTAGGATGGTGGGGATCCCTTACCCAGGTCACCCCTGATCTATCCACTTGTGTGAGGGAGAACACGCATACTTATCTTTGCACTTCTGGCATGCTGGGCGGAGGAGGAAATGGAGTCACATCCAGACTGAGTTGATGTAAAGCTGCCACAACCACACCTGACCTCTAGCCTTGCTTTTCTAAGCTTTCTTCTAGTCTGCGGGCCCCCACTATGTGCCAACCCCGTGTCAGGGTCTGGAGTCAGCAGGTCAGCTTGGCCTCAGTGGGTGCTCTTTTTACAAGCTTGAGCTTTAATGAGAGGCTGGACACTGTTTCTGCTGGACTGAGTCCTTAAGCCTGGACTAAGCCCTGGGCTGGGGTTGGGGAGGGTGGAAGGTTGTGGAGTTCCTGGCTCAGAAAATCCTTGAACAGGCTGAGAATGGGGATTGAGGAATGGGTGAGAAACGAGGCCCCTAAAGGCTAGGGGTATGCTCCCAACCACAAAGCAGAGGACAAGCTGGGGCTGGCCCTGTGATGCCTGGATTTGGAGGCTGCCTCTGGGGCAGAGAAGTGGTGTGGGGGTGCAGCTGTGGGGTGGACAGCCAGAGGGTGGCAGGTTCTGGAGCTCCACTTTGCCATAGACAAACTGTCTTTGGCCCTCCCTCCAGTCTGGAGCCTTGGGCCTCAGTGTGGGACAGCCTAGAGTAGCAGCTAGCCCTGTGGGGCAGGAGTCTAGGGGGCTGAGAACTCTGGGTTCCTGTGTTACTGTCTGTCTGTCTGCCCACTTGCCATGTCCCTGGGCCTGCTCCTCAGGCCAGAGGCTCCACTGGGCCTGGCTGAACCGTGTCTAGGGTAGGGTTACCTCAAAGCAGCCTTTCTCTCTAAAGCTGAGAGGGACCTGAGCTGGCAGCTTTCTGTCTCCCAGAGAGAGAAGGCTTCCCTAATTTCCCTGAGAGTAACTGAGAGCCAAAGAAGCCCTGCAAAGCCCTTGTTCCAGCTTTCCAGCCCTCCCCGTCGTGTGACTGTCATGATACCACCCCTGACTTATTGACAGCCCATCTAAGGGGGGGGGGATCTTTTATTTTTTTGCCCGGTGGGGGCATTTCCCAGGATGTACATTCTTCACATCTTCCTTGTGAGTCCCTCTGGTTGGGAGGGACAGTGGGCTCCCAGCAGTCTGCTCTCTGGCAATCCCTGGGGACCTGGCTGGCCTGAGAGTTGGGGAGGGGGAGGGAGGCCCCTCAACACTTGAGCTGTTTTCTGAGAAGGCAGAAATCCCTGGGGCCCACCCTGAGGGCCATTCCTGGCTGTTCCAGGATTGACCTGAAGTGCCTCTCCATCAGTGCTGCCCTGAAACGGCTGTTGCTTTGGAAACCAGGCCTTTGGGGGTTTGCTTTTTGCGAAGGTGGGGGTGGAGTGGGGAGCATTGTCACAGAGCTTTTCAGGCATCAGCTGCACTGAACCCTCCGAGGAAGAGGCCACTGCTTATTCCTGTGTTACAGGTGAGGAAGCTGAGGCACAGAGACGCGAAGTAACTTGCCCATGCAGCCTGAATTTGAACCAGAACTGCTGGGCTCTGGACCTATGCTCCTGACCTTGTCCCTGCTGCCTCTAGGGGGCTGTGCGGTTTGGGCCATGCTCAGGACTTGGCTGGCACAGGAAGAAGCCTAGGGTTGCCAGGGGGCCTAGCGGTTCCCTCTAGGCACAGTTGCAGCAGGAGGAGGCCTGCTTCTGATGAGGAATTATGTTGGACAAGAGTGGCTCCCAGGGGACAGTGCCTCGCAGGGCTCTCTGCTGGCAGGGGACAGTGACTGGAGGCTTGCTTTTTCCAGCCTCCTCTGGGCCCCTAAAGTCACTTGCCTCCCCTCTCTGTGTTCTCACTGCCACAGGGTTACAGGCAGTGCCTGAGTGCTTGGTCCATATGAACTCTGGGCAGTGCACGAGACGTGGGTCCTGCCCTCAGTAGGCTTTCCATCTCTTCAGGGTGGCATGGGCCCCCCTCGATTATGGCAAGGCTAGAAGAATGCCCAGTGGGAGGCCGCACTGTGAGATGAGGGAAGGGAGTGCCCTCCAGGGCAAGGGTTGGCTAAGAGGGTAGGGTAAGGAGTTCCTCTTCCTGAGAGCCTCCGGTATAGAGACACTGGCCCTGGCGTGCCACATCTGCCTAGAGGGCCCAGCCAAGGCCATGCTTAGGCTCCCCTTAGTTTGGTCATTTATTCATTTAACAAATAGAAATTGAACACAGCAGCTCCCTGCCAGGTGCTGGGCTGGGTGCTGGGGACACAGGGTTTGGCAAAAACACAGTCACTGCCCATGTAAGGTGGGGGACATAGATATCAAATGATCCCAGAAGTGAGAAAGGGGATCCTTTTAAGATTTTCAGGCCTAGCCCAGGATGGGTGGGGGTGGGGTGGGGTTCTGCTACCCTAAAAAGATCCTCTGGAGCTGAGATCCAGGCTAAGGTCTGGATGGGGAACAGGATTTTTCTGGGCGGAGGGGATGGCCTGGGTGAAGGCAGGCAGGCAACAGGCAGTGGGTTTTGGGGGAGACAGGGAGGGGCCCCGCATGTACTGGGTCAGAGTGTTTTGTGAAGAGTCCCCAGGAGCCTTTGCTCACCAGCCACTGGTTAAGTGTCCTGGGAGATGGGTGGACCTTGTGGACATTGGGCTGTCATTCCTCCATGGATGCAGAGGTGTGGCTGGAGCAGCCTCTGCGATAGGGAGGAAGAGGGCCTGGTCATGTATTCCATCTGTTGGCTGTTTTCACATGCTCTGAGTCCACAGCTTTGGGGGTGGCTGGAGTGGGTGGGTTGGGGACAATCCTCTCTCCAAGGGCCAGGTTCCCTGGGGACAAGCTGGGCATTCCAGGGCTAAGGGTCTGCCCTTCTGGGGCTGACCCCAGAGCAGCCCTGGCCAGAGATGAGTAAGGGCATAGTTCCCTTCCCTGCACCCTGGGCTGGGGCCTGGGAGCTAGCCTCCCGTTGCGGGGTGCTGGCCTGGGGCTGTGCCTGCTGGGCCGTTCCTGCATTCCTAAGACCCAAGCCTTGCCCTTCTCTGCACCTCCCTAGGCCACCTTCCAACAGGGGAATCCTGGTACCCTCCTTCTACTAGGGGGCTTGGGCCTGGGTGGGCTACTCTCATACTGGAAATGGGGAAATGGGGAGGCAAGTGAGCCTTGCTCCCACCACTGCCCAGCACCTGAGGGACCTCAAGGTCATGCCCTCCACCAGCACAGCCCTGACTATGAGGCCAGCTGTGGTTTCTCTTCATTCTCTGGACTAGCCAAGGTCATTCATGGGTCACTCATCTCTAAATACTTGTGTATCTCTGAAAAATAAGGACATACTTCTCTGTGTAATACAGCTCCATTATCTCACCTAACAAGATCAGCCTTTTCTTAATGTTGTCTAAGATCCAGCCCCATTCACATCTCCCGATTATCCCCCAAATGTCTTTTTTTATAGGTAGTTAAAAACCCCCTACCCCATTTATTTTTCTTCTTGCAACTGATGTGGTGGAAAAAACCAGGTCAGTTGTCCCATAGAGTATCCTGCCTTCTTGGTCTCTGTGTTAATCTAGAACAGCGGTTGGCAAACTTTTTCTGTGAAGGGTCAGATAGTAAATATTTTCGACTTTGCAGGCTGTGTGGTCTCTCTCACAGCTACTCAAGGTAGTTTTGCTTTAGTGCAAAAGCAGTTTTAGACAACATATAACAAATGAGTGTGGCTGTACCTAATAAAACTGCGCAAAAAACAGGCGGCGGCCCCACAGGCTGTGGTTTGTCCATTCCATATCTAGAACAACCTCTTCTCCTTTATTTTTCTTCTTGTAGTTTGAAAAAGAAAAAACAGGTCGGTTGTCCTGTAGAATACCCTGCTTTCTGGGTTTGTCTCATTGCTTTCTCGTGGAGTCATTTAATTTGTTCCATTAATCTCTGTGTTTTCAGTAAGTGGGAAATTGGAGCTAGGGACTTGATTAGATCCATGTTAGACATTTTGGGCAGGACCCCCTTATCAGTGATGCTGTGACCTCATGCTGCTTCATATGAGGAGGCATCACTGTGTCAGGCTGCCCCCTGTGAGGGAGGGGAGATCTACTCGTGCGTGACTGGCTCATGTCACATCCCTCCATTGCAAACTTGTGTCATTCCCCTTAAGAACTCCAGGTCATCTGTCGGTGGCACTTGGGCATCTGCTAGCATCCACTCCATCACCCTTTCCCCCCCTGGTTTAGCATCCACTGACTCACTGCCTCTAGTATTTGTTTCTTTGGGGGTTGCAGAATCACTTAGCATTTGGCTATTCCTTTGTTATTTAATAGCAAGAATTCTTCTGTAAAGAAGAGCTTTCCTTTAACCATCAGGGCAATTTGGTTACCGGAAAGGCGAAGAGACAGGCTGAATTATTATTCTTTATTGCCAATTTTCAGAGTAAAGAGTTAGGGCATTGCTACCGGCAGTGGTGACAAATGAGGGTTTGGCTTTGTTTTGCTTTCTCTCTTCTTTTTTGTAATCTCTGTGAATGCTCCAGTTTTATGTATTCCATCTGTTTCTGTCAATTGCACTCATTATTCTTTTTGATGCTTAGCTGGTCCCAGCTCAGCCCCCCCTCAGAGGCTCACACAGGCTTCCTGGGGGTACCTCCTGCTGCCCCTGTCCTGAGGGTGCCCTTGGGGAGCTGAGCTGGGAGGCTGGCCCCTAGAATCAGGCCAGAGTCTGAATGGAGGGGCTGCCTCTTATGGAGGCAGCCCCTCCAAGGGGGTTTGTTCTGTACATGGCCCTGACCGATCAAAGGAGGGAAAGCTCCACGGACGTGTTTATCTTTTATGGGCCCTCATTCTTGCCCCCCTCCAAGCATACTGTTGACTCTGACCTGGACCCAGCTGCACTGGGAGTGTGACCTAAATAATGTAGCCTCTGGCTGCAGGAGGGTACAGCCCTTGGGGTCATCAGCACCAGAACTGGCCCCTGGAGAGTGCCAATATTGTCCTCCTCATGTCCAGGCTGCCCTTCCCATCAGCCTCAGGTGGGCTGGGCACAAGAGTCCTGTGCTGGCACTTTGGCACCCAGAAGCAGCTCAGCACATGCTGGCTGGGCTCTGGGTCAGTAGGGTGTCAGGCAGGGGTGAGGGCTCTTGGTGAATGTGGGGAGTAGGGGCAGAAGTCCCCTGTGCTAGAGGGCGCAGGCACCACTTGGGCTGCTGAGAGCAGCAGGGGTTTGGGTCTTTCTTAAAGGGAGATCTCTGCTCTCCCCTAGCCGTGGGCCCCTGTGTGGCCCTGACCCCTGCCCTCCCCACTCCCCACCCTTCAGGCTCCTACTGGTGTCCCTGGAGCATGGGAGGCTGCTGAGCTTGAGCAGCGGTGTCCGTCAGGAGCTGCGTGTCTCACCCCGTGGCAGGGAGGGCGTCCATGGCTGCAGCCAACAAGGGTGAGTGCCTTCCTGGCCTGGTGGGGTTTGCACAAGTCTTCCAGCAGGCCCTGGTGGGAGGGGGCATTGCGTCATGCGGGGCCTGCATCGGCTACGTGTGTGTGTGTGTGTGTGTGTGTGTGTGTGTGTGTGTGTGTGTGTGTGTGAGAGAGAGAGAGAATGTGAGTATGAATTACACTACATCAGTAATTACAGCAGTATTTGTGCCAGGTCCGGGGCTCATCCAAACCCTAGCAGGGAACCTAGGGACCCCTGCTGGCTCCTTGGTGTGCTGGTCTATGGAGGGGTGTGCCCTTGTGTCCCCATGTTCCAGCCTTCCTGTTTCACTGCAGGGTTTGAGGGGCAGGAGGGGCTTGTGGTGAGTACTGAGGCTGATGAGGTGGGTATGACCACAGCAAGCTGTGGAAGGGAATTTGGGTTTCATTCAGAGTCCAGCAGGGCTCATAGAGGGTTGTAGGCAAGGGAAGCCTGATAAGATTTGAGGGTCAGGTCTGGGGGGCTCAGCAGGCAATGTGAAGTGCCAAGCTGGCCGCCCGGGCCTCCACTGAGTGTCCAAGAACCCAGGCCCAGGCTGACCCAGGCCATCCCACCAAAAGGACCCTAGGCAGGGCTCTTGGGGGGCCTAGGGGCTGTGGGGGCCAGAGACGACTGGGGTCATGCTCTTGGCAGGACAGGCTTCCCCCAACCCAGGTCCTCAACTCAGCTCCCACTACTCTGCCTGTCTCAACTCCCTGCCTCCTGGCCTTGGAGGACCCAGCTCTGCTGGAGACAGCTGAGGGCTTTTTGGAGAGTTAAGCAGAGGAAGGAAGGGCCTCTGGCTGGGATCTGGGAGGCTCCCCTAGGTTCTTCCATCTTTGCTGCCAGTGATCAGTGATGAGGTTTAGAGGCAGCTGCAGCCTCTCCTAGGTGGGCTCAGTGTGGTGTTTGGCCCTCTTTGTTTCTCTCATACCCAGGAAGTTTCCATAGAGCCCGTTCCTGTCCCTGCCCCCCTCCCTTCTCAGGTTGGGGTCATCAGAGGGGCAGGCAGCGTCCTCAGGCACTGACAGACCTGGAAGAGAATGTCCCAGAGATGGGGAGCTTGGCATGTGAAGGAGACCACCAAGCAGGGCATCCAGAGGCCTGGCGCTGAGTCCCACACTGCCTAGGGCTCGTTGAGAGTCTAGAGGACTGTCTCTTCCTGTCTCTGGCGTCAGCCTCATGCCCTCTAAGTGAGGGGTCATATTAGCCAATCCCTGAATCCCCCCTACACTCATTCTCGGGGGGGTATTTTTTGTGGGAGAACAGGGCAGGTAGAGGCACGTAGGGGGCCTCAAGCCTCATGATCCCCAGTGTCCAGTAGGATGTGGCCAGTGAAAGGAGCCCACCCAATGGGTGCTGGGTGAGGTCAAGGGCAGTTGCAGGGGGTGGGGAGGCGACAAGGAGGAGTAGTTTCCTGGGGGTAGAGGAAGCCAGCAGACCCTGGAGCCCTCTCCCACTCTCTTCCTAGGCAACAAGCCCAGAGTCCGGAGTATCCGCTTTGCGGCAGGTCATGATGCAGAAAGCTCCCAGAGCCACGTCCACTTTGATGAGAAGTTGCATGACTCAGTGGTCATGGTCACCCAGGAGAGCGACAGCAGCTTTCTAGTCAAGGTACGGGCACACCTCCCCCTCATCAGCCTTACTCCCTCCACCTGCTCCCCGGCCCTGCCTGGCTTCCTGGGCCTGTCTGTTCCATTTCCCCTAAGCTGGCTTCATAGGCACATCTTTGTCCCTCCCTGGGCCTTGGTTTCCCACCTGTAAAGTGGGAGGTGGTGAGAATGCAAGGAGATGAGCGCATTTAGAATATTCCTTGAACGAGGGGGAGTGGAGCCGCCGGTAACAAGGTGAGCAGAGCTGCTGTTATCATTGGCATCACTCCAACAATAGCAACACCCCGACAATGGCCTATGGGGCCACAGACCTGGGTTTAGGTCTAGGTGTGCTGTTCTGGCTCTGTGACTTTGGGCAGGCCACCTGTTTCTTATTCTCTGAAATGAAGACAATTCCCGCCCCACAGAGTTGGTGCAAGAATGAAATGGAAGAATGTATGTATGTGACACAGGTGTGAGGCTAATTATGTGATAACAAGGTGTGACTTTATTTACCCTTCTTTGCCAAACCTCTGGCTGATTTAGGCTCTTTGTTGGACTATGTCTTTATTACCCCCATGTTTTCTGCTGGTGGAGCCCCCACCTCTCCTAGTGGTCACACCTCATGCACCCTTCAGTATGGCTCCTCCAACTGCTGGGACATTGTCAGATCCCACATCCACTTGAGAGGGGCAGGAGGCAGTCTCTGGAGGGGATGGACTTGGGGGAAACGGGTTGAGGTGAGGCCCTCAGGTTGGACAATAAACTAGGGCTCCAGAGTTGAGCAGGAGTGCCTGGGGTAGGGGAGTGAGGGGCATCTGGTCTCCATCGAGACCACCCTGAGGAGGGGCCCAGATTCTTGTCCAACTCTAAAATCCGTGCTCTTTCTCCTACAGCTGACCACTTTCCCAAGGGAATAAACAGAGTGAACCAAAACTTTAAAAAATAGCTCCCTTCCCCTCCCGCCCCCCCCATTGCAAAATCCATTCATGTCTATTAGGGAAAATTTGGAAGACAGAGAAAACTATAAAGAAATTTAAGGGGGCCAGCCGGGTGGCGTAGCAGTTAAGTGCGCGCACTCCGCTGCTGGTGGCCCGGGTTCGGATCCCAGGTGCGCACCAACGCACCGCTTGTCAGGCCATGCTGTGGCGGCATCCCATATGAAGTGGAGGAAGATGGGCACAGATGTTAGCCCAGGGCCAGTCTTCCTCAGCAAAAAGAGGAGGATTGGCGTGGATGTTAGCTCAGGGCTGATCTTCCTCACAAAAAAAAAAAAAGAAAAGAAATTTAAAAGTACCCACAATCATACTATCCAGAAATAACCGTGGTAAATATTTTGATGTGTGTCATTTCAGCCTTTTTTTTTAGCTTCGTTTCCAAAAACAAAAAGCTGGTATAACAGCATACACACTGTTTTTTGCTTGCTTTTGTAGTGAACTGTCTCTTGCCTGTGTCAGTAAATAATTTTCCACGAGATTTTACAACTGCCTGGTATTCCATTATATGCATCATCCTTGATTTAGCTGGTTCCCTATTTCTGGTGTTACAGCTGTTTCTATTTTTCACTGTTTTAAATAGAGCAGTGGTGAGTACTTTTTTGCACATCTCTGAGTATCTCCCCTGGAAAATTCTGCAAGTGGTGCAGCTGGGTCGCAGGGTCACGGTGGCAGGTACAGCCAGAAAGCCCTCTTGAGAGGTGTGCCCTCCACTTGCAGAGTGTGGGAGCACATGGACTGAGCTTTATTATGCAGTGACGTCAGCCTGCTCTTGGAGAAAGGCTAAATGCTCCATGCAGCCAGTCCCAGCTGGCCCCAGGGACAGGGCCGTCCAGCCCCTGAAACTGTGAGCGGGAGGGTGTGTGCTCACATGAGCTGTGGGTACAGCATGCACCCCTGTGCCTCCTGGACTGGCACTCTGGTCAGCCTACCCCCCTCAGCAGCCAACCTGGCTTGTGACCCTTCACACGACTGGAGTTTCCAAGGATGGCGTCTGTCCCAGAGGGCATTGGTTGCCAAGCACTGTGTATGAACAACAAAAATTGCTTGGGCTGTGAGTTGGGGCTGCTGGGCACAGTGAGCCTTTGAGAGGGCAGGCAGGCATCCATGTTCAGGTGCCAGCAGGGCAGGCAGGAGCCTGGGTTCAATGGCTGGTGCCGGGCCTGTGGGCCAGCTCTGGACTGACACAGCTGGTCTAGTGTCTGTTTTTCTAATTCTGTCTCATCCTTCTTCCTGTGCTATCCGTGTTGCCTGGTGTCTCCACTTGAGTGACTAGAGGACCAGTGTCCCTGACCCCAGGCTATTGGCTCTGGGCAGGTGCTGGTAGTGGTGAATGGTGAATGTCCTGTGTCATGGGACTTTGAGCTTTCCCTGTGGGCAATGGCTGGTGCCTTGCTGTGTGCCACACATGGCAGGAGTGGCCAAGAGGTCTAGGGAAAACTTACCCTGGCCACACTGTGTGGCCTCCAGCCAGTCGTTTCCTAACTTCCATTTCCTCATTTATAAAATGGGCCGAGGAGCTGCGGGGCCCTTGAGACAGCTGCCGAGGGCTGTGCTGGCTGAGTTGTGGGGATGAGGTCCTGAGGGGAAAGGCCTGGAGCCACCAGGCTGGGGATGTTGACCAGCTGGAGTGGTGGAGGGAATTCGGCTCCCCTGGGATCTCCAAGGAAGCAGGTGCAGGGGCCCACAGGATCAGGGGTGGCATGACCTGAGCTGGTCCTGGGGAAGGCTGTAAGTGAAGGTGCCTCCTTCCCCCACCCTTCCTGCTGCAGGTTGGCTTCCTGAAGATCCTGCACAGGTATGAGATTACCTTCACTCTGCCCCCGGTACACAAGCTGAGCAAGGACATCCGAGAGGCACCTGTCCCCAGCCTGCACCTCAAGCTCCTCAGCATCACGCCCATCTCGGAAGGTGCGTCCCCTGCTCAGGGTGCTGGAGGCCTGCCCTCTTCCATCAGGGTCTGGGTGTGCGTGGGAGTGAGAGCATGGGGTGCTCCCTTCCCCCCATCGGGGTGGACCAGCAGCTCAGCAATTGGGACATGATGCCTCTTTATGGGCTTGCAGAGTGGTAACTTGGCAGGTCCCATGCTCCAGGCCTCCCTCCCTGGACAGAAGTCCATGGGCTCACACTGTTGGCCTGTGCTGCCCATCGTCTGATAGTGGCTCCCATCATCCCACTGAGGTAACTAAGGAACTGGCTCTGGGCCTCCAGCCCTCCCTCCCACCTGCCACTTAAGAAAAATCTGCCAGAGCCTCAGGAACTCTGGGTAGTTACCTCCTAGCACCTGCCAGTCCCGGGCTTTGGGCTTCAGGCTGCTTCTCCCTACCCTGCCTGTTTCAGGCCCTTCCCCTCACCTCCCCCCATAGCCTGAAGAGGGTTGGGTGTCCGTTTCACAGTGTGCTGAAGCCCCAGCTCCAGTTTCATGTCCCCCTACCTCCTTCCCATGACTTTGCCTTTAAGTAGATTGAGTGAGCCCCCTTAGGCCTTTGCCTCCTGCCACCTGATTTGCTCAAGGCCTGCCCTGCCCCTCCTTCTTCCCCATCACCCCCCTCTCCCTACCTGCCTTTTTGGGGAATCAGCAGGCCCTCCAGGAAGCCTGAGTTTGACCCCTGGAGCCATAATGGGGTCTCTTAGGCCAGAGGCATATAGAGGTCACTGAAGAATGGGAAGTTTCCGAGGCCTGTGCGCCCAGCCCTGGGGGGATAGGTCCTGGGCCATCTTTGCTCCCTTGGAGGAAGCAGCCAGTCTTGGTGGTGGGTGGGGGCCGGTGAGTGCTGGCGGGACAGGAATGGGGAATGAGGCCACGGAGGTGCTGACCACCATGGGCTGTCCCTGGGCAGGTTACAGTGTCAAGTGTGAATACTCGGCACACAAGGAGGGCGTCCTCAAGGAGGAGATGCTGCTAGCCTGTGAAGGTGGCACCGGGACCTACGTGCGCGTCATGGTGCAGGCGCGCGTCATGGGTGAGAGCATGAGGCACAAGTCTGGCTAGAGAAGGGAAGTGCCAGCTTGGCCACAAGGGGTTTCCACCATCCTGCCAGAGCTCCCTCTGAAAAAGGGATCCTTGCCCTGGCCCAGGGTTCCCAACCTCCTTGACAGGTGTCTTTCTCCCCACCCCCAGCAGAGCCAGGAGGGAAGGTGGAGGGGTCCCCTTGGAGGGGGTGGAGCCAGGGTCCAGCCTGGCATACTGACTTGTCGCCCGCCTTGCAGACCGGCACCACGGCACACCCATGCTGCTGGATGGTGTCAAGTGCGTGGGTGCCGAGCTAGAATACGACTCGGAGCACAGTGACTGGCACGGCTTCGACTGAGGCCCGCGCCGGCTGGCCTTGGGGCCCCTCAGCCTTAAACCCCACCTCATCTCCGGAATGCTGCGTGATGGTGTGGCTTCCTCGCCCCTCCCCTCCCCGGGTGGGCGTGGGGGTGGAGCGTCCAGGGGCTTCCCCGGGCCTCGCCCATGCCTCTCACCTCTGCCTTCATTTGTGCCCCCTCCCTGCCTCTCCTAAGTCCTCCTCTCCCACTTTCTCCTCTCCGTGTGCCTCAGTCTCCTGCCGAAGAAATGGGCTGAGCCCCCAAGGAGGCTATGTGAGGAGGGGAGGGAGAGGCCTGGGGTGGGTTCTACTCACCCCCCACCCCAAGCCACAGGGGCTCTAGCCAGGGCCAGGAGAGGAGGGAAGGAGCTGGCTCTGTGACACTGTCGCCCCATTATTGCTGCTGCTGTCTCCCTTCAGCCAACTCTCCTGCGCCCTCCCTCTTTCCCACTGCTGTCCACGGGGGTTGGGGGGGGTGCAGTCTCCAACCCCTACTCCCCAGGTCTGTGTTACTTGATTTTTAAACAACTGGTTGGGATAAAACTAAAGAAATAAAACTTTCAGTGGATACTGGAGGCCAGTGGGACTGTTGTTCTCCAGGGCCCTGAGAACACCCAGTCTTTCCCAGATGGGCCAAGGAACACATTTGGCTAAACTTATTCTTTTAGGAAGCAAGGGCACTTAATGGTATTATAGTGCTTAGCCCCAAAAGAATTACGCACAGGTTGTGGCATTGTAGGCCTGGGAATAGTTGCCAAGACAGAGTTTGGATGGGGAGGGGCCTTCTGCCCAGGCCAGAGAGAGGTCTTATGGTCAGGTTGGGAGTTCTTTTTGGGATGCTTGATAGGGAGACAGCAGCACCTGGTGCTGGTCAGTTCCCAGCCCCTTTCTTTGTTGAACCCTGGCCCCCTCCACTACTTCACTATTGGCGTCCCCTCTTGTGAGGTACCAGCAGACCATGGCTTCACCTTGAGCATAAATGCTTTATTGTCACCTTATGGTTCTCAGGCAGGTGGGGTTGTTGCATGTCATGGTTGGAGGGAGGTGCCTGACATTTCATACTCGGGGAATGAAAATCACCCTGCCATGGGTGGGCAGGGAATGTCCTAATGGCACATTGAGTTGACGGCAGAGCTGGGACCAGCCCTCCTTGCTCCCTGTCCTCCCCCAGCCCCCCCACTGCCCTCCTGTGGCTGGGATAGGGTGCAAGTGGGTCATCCATAGGCTGCCCTTGGGGCCTTCCCAGATGGGTCATTTGTCCTGAAGGAAAGGCCCCCCAGCATGCTGCCCCCATCATCTCATAAGTGCCTGCACCCTATACCCTCCTCATTAGTCTGCTACTGCCCTTTCTACAATTAAGTCATACTAGGGTGGTCAGTACCACACCCAGGAAGGGCCTACAACCCCTGTCCTTCTAGGGTCAGCTTCCAGTCATTTTTCTGTGGCACAGGGCTGCTCTGCCCCACCTCCCTGTGCATGCCGAGCCCATCAGTCAGTGCAGTCGGCCCTTCCGGCCCAGGCCTTGCACAACCTCCTTCCTCCTGCTGCCCCTCCTGCTGCGGCCTTGGCCTCTCCCAGCTGCCTCCACCCCCACCCCCACCCCGAGTTCAGTCCAAGGCTGTCTTCTGCTTTCGGGGTCACGTGCTCCCTGTGGGCACGGCGTCTTACAAGCCCCTTCTAAGTCTCCTTGACCTCAGTCCTTGGCAGGGCCCTTCAGCCTTCAAGTCAGTGGATGAGGGCCCAATCCCAAAGCCACAGTCTCTGGATGTGTCCCCACCTATCCTGCGACCTCATCTCCCCGGGCAGGAGGGTGGGGAAAGGGGCGATGACTGAACAAGCAGCTGCGCCTACCCCAGCCGGCTCCCCAGGGCCCGGACCGAAAGAGGGCGGGGCCTGCAGAGGGTGGGCTGGCACCGCGCCCGCGCGCCCTCAATTGGAAAGAAAGTCGATGGCGGCGCGCACGGAGCGATTGGTGCTGACGTCGACGGCGGTGACCTTGATCTCGGTGTCGCCAAACTGCATGGCGGCGCGGATCTCGCGGCGGCCAGGGGGCGCGCCGGTGGCGTCGGGGTGGGCGGGCTCGAGCTCAAGGCTCAGCGCGCCGCACTTGCGCACGCCCGGGTCGGTGATGAAGCGCGCGTCCTCGGCGGCGCAGCAGTACAGGTTGATGAGCACGCGCCGCTGGCCCGGGCGCGCCGGGCAGTAGCTGCGCCGCACCTCCTCGCCCAGGGCCACCGACTGCTCCGCGGCCACGAAGCGATCAAAGACGTCGGTGCACCAGCGGCGGCCGTCGCGAACCAGCAGCTTGTCGGGCGGGTGGCGGCCAGCCACGAAGCGGTTGAGCACGCCCACGCCGTAGGTGAGCGGCGAGCGGCGCACCCGCACCACGCCCGGCGCCTGGCCGAACAGCACCGCGCCTTTGAGGATGGTGAGGCCCACGTCGTGCGGGACCACCACGCGCAGGCCGCGGGCGCCCAGCGCCGTCTGCACCGCGTGCTGCAGCACGGCCGACTCGGCGAAGCCGCCCACCAGAAACAGCAGTTTCACGTCCTGCACCTCGGGCCGCGCCAGCAGCGCCTCTGCAGGACAGAGTGGAGGGTGGGGGTAGGAGAAGAAAGAAAGGGGAGGAGAGAGAGCACGGGCCGCTGAGGCCACCACTACGCGGCCACTGGCACCTCCCCTCCGCCCGCCGGTACCCTCCTGTCAACTAGAAACTAGCCATTTCACTGTAAAACGATAGCCCCGTTCTGATGAAGAAGAACACTGAGCGCTTTCATTGAGGGCTCCCAGCAGTCCTCATGGGCTCTACCTCCCCAACACTCTACCCCTCCTCACACACACAGCGTGAAGGGCGTGAGATAAAAATGCAGTTACACGTATTAAATGCCTACTGCATGCAAGACTGTGTTCACGCTCTAGATACTTCAGCTCATTTAGATTCCTATGATAACAGATTTGGGAACCCAATACTAACATCTCATTTTACAAATGGGGAAACTGAGGCACCAGAGATTCTTTGATTTGGCGAGACTACACATCATCTCTCCTAGCTCTTAATCCCCACCGCACTGCCTCCACCAGGTGTTCCAGATGACTCGGTCTCATTCCAGTGTATGGCTGTGTGGAGGTTTCCAGGCACTAACGGGAAATTATTCCCGCATCTGGGTGTGTATGTGGGGGTGAATAGGGGACCCAAGCTCAGGCGTTCACCTATATGCTGGATGATCCCGCTGACCGTGGGCTGAAAGAGATCGTTCATGGCCTCGCAAGACATCCTGAGCATTCCCTGTGAGGACCACTTCACGAAGTTGACGCTGTAGGTGGTGAAGGGGGCACAGGCGCATGGGTCAGGGTCCGGGGTTCTGCCCCTGCTCCAGCCCGATGTGCCTGGCACCGACTGCACGTTGTGTGTTATCCCAACCCCATTCTCTCAGGGCCTTTAGCCGCCGGCCTGCTCCAGTTCCAGGCATGAGGTCCCAGGAGAGAAGCCTCTCTGTGCCTCCGGGAGGGGAGGAGACAGATGTCGGCCCTTCCCCCGGGGCTCAAGATTCTCTTGCCCCAGTTCCGGCTGCGGATTCCGGCTGGGGTACTCATGCCCCTCCCTCTGCCGCTGGAGCTGGCACGTGTGCGCGGGGCGGATCAGGTGGAACCACACTGCCCCCTGGGGGCCACGCCCTCCCTTGCAGGGGCGTTCCCCATCCGCAAACTCTGCCTGAGCCGGCGGTCCCCGGGCCCACCTGCTCCTGCGCAGGGCCGTCTCCACGTTGTGGCCTCGCTGCTTGCGGTAGAAGTCGATGAAGGAGAAGGGCAGCGAGATGTTAAGCGCCCCCGCACGGTGCGGGCCTGCGGTGCGTTTGCGGGCCTCGAAAGCGATGGTCAGATCCACCCAGGCTGCCGGCCGTTGCCTTTTGAAGGTGGCAATGAAGTCCTCGCCGAAGATGCGGCCCAGCAGCTGTTCGAAGGCCAGGTCCACGCCCACCGCGCCATAGGGGCCGCCTGGAGTGGGGCAGGGGGCGAAGGGGCGTCAGCGCCGACTCCGCCGCCAGGGGGCGATGGTGGGGCCCGGGCGCTCGGGTTACCAAGGGCGCTGCCTGGCTACTCACCCGACGCCTTGTAGAGCTCCTTGAGAGTGCCATGGGGCTGCTCCAGCTGGTGCACGGTCAGGTCCACTGTGCCTCCCCCACAGTCTGCCACCACGTAGCGGTCTCCTGCAGCGATGACCGTAAGCAGTGACCACACACTCGTGGCCTGCCTTGCACCCTTAGCTCTGAGCCCCCTCCAAACTCAGCCAGCCTCCAGCGCTGCCCCAGGTCCTGAACCCTGCCCGCCCGGGCCTGGGGGTGGGCCGTAAGGGGCTTCAGGTGCTTGAATCTCAGGCCACCGGGTAGGAGCGCAAAGTGTGTGTGTGTGGGGAAATGGTTCCAGGACTCTGCAACTCAATCCGCGGAGAATCCCCGGGAAGAGTGGGAGTTAGGGGCGCGGCTGTGAGTGGGGTGGGGGTGTAGGTGACTGTGAGGGCACTGCCGGGTTAGGTACAGCTGATGGAGGAAGAAGAGGCAGGGTTTCTAGGGGCTGGAGCCGACTTCACGAATGTTCCCTTCCCCCCTATTAGTGTATGGTGCCCCGAAGGGCCCAAGAAATATCCCTCCATCTCCCCCTCCCCCCACCTGCTTGCAGCTCTGCCCACAGCTCTCCGACGCCTGACTCCACCAGGAACGTGCGGCTGTGGCGGGACCTTCGCAGGTGCTCGCGGGCTAGGAGTTGAGGGACAGCGGGACAGTGAGAAGGAGGTGCCTCAGCTTCCACGCTCAACCCCCATCCTCCCGCCAACGCCCTCCCTGAGCATCTGGAGCAGCCAGTGCTGCTGAAACCCCTGCTCCACTTCTAACTGGGAGAGCACAGTGCTGCACCTGAAGGGTCCAGAGAACCACATCGGGCAGTCGCAGGCGCGGTAACCAATAGGTAAGGGGATACTTCTGGCCGCAGGGCCTTCCCTTAACGCAGGGTGGCTCAGGCCATGGCAAAGTCAGGGTTAGGAGGGTTTGGAGGAGCTGGGGGGGGCGGTCTTGGGGGATCCAGGCAGCTCAGGACTTGGGCCCTCTCCCTGTCACGGGAGATGGCATCTGGGAAGGTGACCAAGGTTGACCATAGCTGCCTTGGTGCCTGGTCCTGGCAGCAGGAGCTTGGGGCTGATGGGGGGTGGGGAGGACAGCTGATGTGCCAGGAGGGGAGGGGCAGCTGATTCAGTGGCTGTTTAAGGGAAAGCTCTTGAAGACCCCCCTCTTCAGTTCAGAGTCGGGGCTGAATTCCTCCTTTGTCCCAAGCACCTCCCCCCAAGGGACGCTGTCTTCCCCATCCTCAGACTCAGGGCTGGGCTAAGTCCTACTGTCTTCACACAGTGCTCCCTTAGGACAATGTGAAATCTCCGTCCTCAGACTGGGCTCTCCCAGGTCAGGACTGTGCCTCCTCCTTCAGACTGAACTCCACCAGGGATGCTTCTGCGCTCTCAGATTGGGCTCCTCCAGGGTGAGGTGGCCTCCCCTTCATGCTGGACATGGCTGAGCTTCTGGCTGCCGTGACCCTCTGACCTTCCAAGGGCAGCTATCTCCAAGCCCACCACGGGGCAGTGGCTCTGGGGGCAGCTCACCCTGCCGGAAGCTGGAATCGATGGAGCGGCGCCCACCCAGGCGCCCACTGCCTGGGGCCCGGCTGCTCAGGTCCACAAGCTGGTGCAGACGCAGCTTGCGGCAGTAGACAGAGGCGGCCTCAGGCTCCAGGGCAATGAGTAGTTGCTCTGCATCCTCTCTTGACACCAGGCCAGCCTGGGGATGGGTGGTGGGCAGGGCCAGGGAGAACCATGGATCAAGCATCACACCTAAGATGGCACCCCAAGGCAGGCAACCGGGGCCTGTGGGGCTCCCACCTCCTCCCCATCACACCCCACCCATGCTAGCCCTCTCAGGCCCCTCCATGCTGCACAAATTTGGAGCTGCCTCACAGCCTCCCTATGACCAGGCTGGGGAGGGACATAGCCATGGCCAGGGACGTCATGAGGCTGCCCAGCAGGAAGAGACCCTAGACAGAGTGAAAACCTAGAGAGCCTGGGATCTGCCCCTCAGAGCTGCCCAAGGTGGCCTGGGCTGCGGCAAGGTCCCCTTCACAGGCGCAGGGCTGCCCAGCTGAGCACTGGCTGAAGGTGTTAGTGGCGACTCTAGCACAGTATGTGTGTTGGGGTGTAATGGCCAGACCATCAATCAGAGGAGATGGTGGGGGGTCCCCTTTGGCTCACTGAACCTTTTCCTCCACCAGGCTGGTGTCAGGCAGTGGCCACAGGCCTCCCCACTCCCAGAAGTTTCTTCCCAGGGAATCTGATATAGGAGGAAAGAAACTCTTAACAGTGAAATTCTAGGCACCAGCACAGGCCAATCGGGGGGAGAAAACCACTTGGGATCTGTTACTTCATGCATCAGGACAGAGGATCCCTATAGGAAGTACTTCATGGTTTTGTGGGATTCCCCAGATTCTGATCAGGTGGGGGATGTGGATGGGTGGGTATTGAGACTTCCTGCCCAGGGCCAGCCCTTCCTGAGCTGGCAGCCAGGGAAGAGTGTGAGAGGAAGCAGGGTGGGTAAACCAGCAGGGGGGCACTAGGGTGGGGTGTTTGTTCTGGCTGGGCACAGCCTTTCTTTCATCCTGGTCTCTGCAGGGGAGATGCCCACTAGGCTCAGGTTAGTTCCTTCCAGTGACAAGCGTAGGCACCTGCAGATCTGGCACCTGGGGCATGCCTGGCCCGCTGGTGTGTGTGTGGAGGTTAGGGGCCCTGGTATCCTCCAAGGGGGTGCACAGGCAGGCCTGAGATTCCTTTTGGAGGTCTTAGGATGCCCCACAAGGCCCCAGGAGCAGGACTACGCAATGAGTCTTGCTCTGGGAGTCTGTGCCCTCCCGCCCCCTGTCTCCACTGAAGAGGGGGTGCCTGAGCTGCGCCTCCCCTTTCTCCAGACGTTTGGGCATCTCTTATGGTAGCAAGCCCACCAAACATTAGCCAAAATCACCTCCCTTCATAGTTTCATAGTCTTATTTCCACTGTTCAAGAACTTACAATGGTTGGGGCCGTGGTGGTGGTGCAGTTCCTGAAAATATTGATGCCGGCTGAAGTGGATGTGCTTGGCCCCCTGCCCAGGGGCCAACAGTTGCCCCCTTCTCTGGAGAACTGCCCTCAACCGAATGGGAACCACCTCACTTGGAGAGGTTCCCCAAACTCGCCCAGCAACCAGTGACAGACTGATACGGATGTACAAAAAGCCAGCCCCCTTGCCTCACAGTGGCCAACTCTGGGGTACAAGTCTCCCTCCAGAGCTCTCCATGGAATCAGGCTGAGGCTTCTCCAGTTGAGACCACATCCTTCTCAGTTCTTTCTCCTCTCCTGCTTCCCTCACTCCCCTTTCTCCTGAGTGTTCTTCTTCAATAGACCAGGTGCACAAGAATCCCCATCTTGGGCTCTGCTTTTAGGAAACCTGACTTAAGACACTGGCTAAACTGGCCTGGGCTGTGCCACTTGTCCCTCTGCTCTCTGTTCCTGTAGGCTCACCCCCTCTCCCAGTGGCAATAACCCTCCAAAACGCCCAGCAAGGGAAGGCCGAGGTCTTTACACAATGACTCTGTGGTCCCAAGGGTGGTGGGTGAATGAGGGTATGGGGCCATCCCCAGGGCCCTCCCGAGCAACAGCCCCTGCTCTGCCTGCGTGTCCTCACCAGGTAGGCAGCCTCCCGCATGAACTGCTTGGCCGGCTGTTTCCAGATGGCGGGCACCGTCAACACCCAGCGCACAGTGTCCTTCTCTGGCAGCAATGGGCACTGCTCCCTCAGCTCCTGGAGCAGGAGGAGGCAGTGAGGGAGGGGAACGGCTGGCTTGGGTTCAGGGCGGGTGTCTTCAGCCCTCTGGGAGCCGGAGGAACTAGTCAAGCCTCAAGAAGGACTTCCCAGCTGAGCTGGAAGTATCCCTAATACTTCTCCTTCCCCCAACACTGTGGCCAATGCAGGCTCCACCAGATAGGAAGGCAGGGTATTGGAGATGACCTCTGACAGTGGCTACCCATCGGATGGAGAGGGGATGGGCTGAGAGGAAAGGATGGGCCTGGGGGTTCCCCGCCCTAGTCGGTAGGGATGGGGCCCGCAGCGCACCTGAAGGGCATGCTCCTTGAAGAAGCGCAGGGCATGGGCGAACACCTCCAGGGCAGGCATTTTCTTTCCATTTACTGCCTCTAGCTGGGTCTTCAAGGTGAGATCCTGGTGGGGACACAAGGTGATTCTGCAGGAGGCCATAGCTCTGCCCCCATTTCCTGACGACCTCTCTCTTAAAATCACCCCATTTCCTGGTGCTTCCCTTCTTTGGCATCGACGCACTCGCGCTCTAATCTCACTTTAGTTCTGTCCCCAGCCCCACTCTTTAGTCCCGCCCCTCCTCTAACTCTAGCCTCACGTCTGAGCCCCGCCTCCATCCCGTCTTACTTCCGAGCTCCGCCCCCTCAGCCCCCTCTCCACCAGGCCCCTCCTCAGCTTTAGCTTTGCTCGCCTTCCATGAGCCCCGCCCCTTCCCCTCCTGGCCCCGCCGCCCTGGCTGGAGCCGGGTCCCGAGCCAGAATGTGACTCACCGTGGCACTGTGGATCTTCATCTTGAACTTCTCGAAGTAGAGCCAGTCACGCGCTTCCTCAGGGTCCAGATCGTGGTAGTAATCGCGGGCAGTGTAGCCGAAGCTGTGAAAGGCCCCCTCCGGGGTCAGCAGCAGGCAGGTGGGGGTCTTCTGGTGGGCCACACCTGGGTCCCCGCCCTCCCATTTCCTGCGGAGGCACAGGGCTGTCAGTGTGGTCAGCGGCAACGCTCCCTTCCAGGGGTTGGGTGCTGGCTCTGGGACCAGCAATGTGACCTTGGGCAGGCCACTTAGCCTCCCCAAGCCTAGTCTTCCCATCTGTAAAATGGGAATAATAATAGTACCTACACCTCTTAGTGTTCTTGTGAAGATGGTGCTTGGCATCCACTTAAATCTCCATCAATGGGATCCTTTACCCATGGGGCCACAGGTCCCATCTGATATTCTCAGCTCCTGCTCCCTCCCATGAGGTACACCATTTGCCCTCACTTCCCTGTACCCTTAACAAACAGCAGCGGGCCGTCATCTACCTGCCGGGGTCTGGCCTGCTGATGTGTCTCTCCAGGACCCTAACAGAGCCCTTCTCCCAGTTTGCCCTCCTCTAGGGCATCTTCCACGGCCAAGCTCCTTCAATGATAACGATCATTCCTATCTGATGCACCTCAGCAGCTACACCCCAGTTGACTGCACCTCCAGCAGCCCCCCAAAAACTGAATGAGATTCCAAGCCTCCCTATCCACAGGCCCCATCCGGCCCTCCACCCAGAACTCCCTGCCCAGTTCACTGGCCTGGAAAATCCTTCCTCCCTTTCCTCTGCCTTCTCTGATGCCCTGATCCCTCTATGCCAAGCTCATTAGTGCAGCCTTTTGGGGAAGGAACTGGGAATCCAGGCAGGAGGAACAGCATGTGTAAAAGCTTAGACGTGTGACAGAGCAGGGAGAACCAGCTATAGATTGGCTCAATATCCAGCAGGAGAAAATACAGGAATGTTCAGGTCAGCTAAGGAAAAGCATCAAACACCATATCAGAATTCTGTCTTGGTGGGTTTTAAGTAGGGGAATGAAGAAGCATGACTACATTTGCATTTAGAAAGGCAACTGGTCCCCATGTAGCAATAGGCTGGAGGGGAGAGAGGATGGAGAAGGAAGGAGAAAGAACACCAGGGAGAAAGATATTGCAGCTGTCCAGGTGAGAGAGACTGGGGCTGAAGTTAGGGGTTGTGGCCGTAGAGAGAAGTGGATGGGTATTCCAGAGATATTAGAGAGACAGAAATGATGGGGCTTGGGGGCTGGTGGGGGTGGGAAGGCCTTAGAAGGAGACTAAGATGTTCCTCAGTTACTTCCTGTGACTGTCACCTCCACAGGACAGAGACAGTGTCCCTTCATGTGTCCTCGGCCACAGCATGGGGCCCAGCATGACCTCAGCTATGTGTGCTGACGAGGGTGCCAGCTGGGATGCCCTGCAGCTCCTAGAGCGCTATAAGTGCCCAGAGACTTTGTGGCCTCGCGTGGATGTAGAGGGAGCAGAGAAAGGGGAAGGACAGTCTAGGCTCACGCAGGTCAAGTCCCTTATATCTTTGGGACAGTGACCCTTCTGTCTGTCTCTCTTTTCACCCTTCTATCCAGCCTCCTAGGCCCTGGGGAGCCTCCCTGATCCCCCATCCCAGTCTAGGTTGGGAGCTTTGAGGTCTTCTACAGAGGTCTTCCACCTACTGGCTACAACCCCACTAAGATACATTCAAAGGATCAGGTCTTGAGGCCTGGAGAGGAGTGTCAAACAAATATTTTGTTCAAACAAAACTCAGCAACATTAGAATGGAATTTTTGAACATCTCTTTCATAACAACTGTATGGCTTTTCAACTCAGTTAACCCTCTGATCCTTCATTTCCTTGTTTTTCATTTGAGGTGTTGGACCTTGGAATCTACCTGGTAGAAATCCCAGCACAAGTTTCCAAGGAAAGATATTCATCGCAGCACTTTTTGTAATAGTGAAAAATTAGAGGAAAAAAAACCCTGAAAACTATCAAGAGAAGAATGGAGGGGCCAGCCCACTGGCAGAGCGGTTAAGTTTGCGTGCTCCACTTCAGCAGCCTGGGGTTTGCAGATTTGGATCCCGGGTGCGGACCGATGCACCACTTGTCAAGCCATGCGCTGGCAGCGTCCCATATAAAGTAGAGGAAGATGGTCACGGGTGTTAGCCCAGGGCCAATCTTCCTCAGCAAAAAGAGGAGGATTGGCAACAGATGTTAGCTCAGGGCTAATCTTCCTCACCAAAAAAAAAAGGATTAGCATGGATGTTAGCTCAGGGCTAATCTTCCTCACCAAAAAAAAAAAAGAAGAAGAAGAAGAATGGATAAATTATGACACACCTGTACTATGGAATACTATGCAACTGTTAAAAGACAGTGGTGGCTCTCTATGTATTGACATAAAACATCTACAAAATAGTGTTGAAAGTTTAAAATGAGGCAAGTTGTATGATATCCCACTTTTATTTAAAAAAACACATATATGTGTGTATATATGTGTGTTTGTGTACAAGCCCAGAAAAAGATGTGTATTTTACTATGTTTGTTATATTTCAATAAAAAATTTAAAATTATAAACAAAGCCCAACAAGAGGATATGAATAGACATTTTTCCAAAGAAGATATACAGATGGCCAACAGGCACATGAAAAGATGTTCAACATCACTAATCATTAGGGAAATGCAAATCACAACTACAATGAGGTATCACCTTACACCCATCAGAATGGCTATAATATACAAGACAAAAAATAACAAACAAGGGAGAGGATGTGGAGAAAAGGGAACCCCCATACACTGCTGGTGGAATGCAAACTGGGGCAGCCACTATGGAAAACAATATGGAGATTTCTCAAAAAATTAAAAATACAAATACCATACAATCCAGCTATCACACTACTGGGTATTTATCCAAAGAACATGAATTCAACAATACAAAGAGACTTATGCACCCCTATTTTCATTGCAGCATTATTCATGATAGCCAAGATGTGGAAGCAACCCAAGTGCCCATCAACTGATGAATGGATAAAGAAGATGTGGTGTATATATATATATACACAATGGAATACTACTCAACCATAAAAAAAGACAAAATCATCCCATTTGCAACATGGATGGACCTTGAGGGTATTATGTTAAGCAAAATAAGCCAGACAGAGAAAGATAAACACTGTATAATTTCACTCATATGTGGAATAAAAACAAACACATCGATAAGGAGAAGAGATTAGTGGTTACCAGAGGGGAAGGGGATGAGGGGGAGGTCAAAAGGGGTAAAGGGGCACATATATATAGTGACGGATAAAAACTAGACTATGGTGAGCAAGATGCAGTCTATATAGAAACTGATATATAATAATGTACACCTGAAATTACACAATGTTATAAACCAATGACCTCAATAAAATAAATTTTTTTAAAAAAAGCAAAAAAGCCCAACATTTCCTGTAGAGGGCAGAGGGCTGCTCCAATTGAGGCTGGGAGCCCAGCCCTGGGGCCAATCCTCCAATCTTTTGCGCCAGCGGGGAGCCCCAGAGTAGGAGTGGACAGAGCTCTGAGGAGACCCCATGTCTCCTCAGTGACGGTACTGCTGGGACCAGACCTATCCCAGGGTGTGAGGACTCCCCTGACCAATCTCCTAGCCCAGCCGCCCTCACCTCATCATGTGGATGGCCTCAGGGTCACTGGCAAAGCTGAAGGCATAGCCACTGGATGTGGTGCCGAAGTCGATGGCCACCACCACAGAGAAGGGGGCCTGCTGGGGGGCTCGGGCTTCAGGCTTCTGCAAACAGAACCTAGAGTCAGGTTGCAGCCCACAGGGCCAGGCTGATGCATGTGGGAGCCCCTCCCCTCTGCTGGCTGTGGTCCAGACCAGCCCTGGGCTGCCCCCACCTGCCTGCGTGCCTGGGCTCCCCTTCCCTCCCAGGCTCCAGGCTGAGCCCTGAAGTTGCCAACTGCTCAGAAAGCCCACGGCCTCTCAGGTAGCCCCGTGCAGTTTTTGGCTCAAGCTCCTGCTTTCCTGCTTCCGGTTCTCTGCCCACCTTCTGCCTGCACTGCCTCAGCCCCACCCCCACCTCACACCATTTCACAGTCTGGCACCAGCCTGGGCCCAGCTGGGAGCAATTTTGCTACTTCGGGTTGCTTCATAGCACATGGACCTGTGTATATTTGACCCTCTTGCTCTTTGTGGCACAGTGACACAACCAGACTCTGTCCGGTTTTGTGGCAGAGAAGAGAGGCCCCACACACGTGCCCAGAGTGGTCCCTACCTTCTCCCAGGCCAGGCTGGGGCTCCCTGAGAAGAAGGGGGTCCTCTAGGCGGGATCACTAGGGTGAGGCCATTCCGGGTGGGGTGACCCGGGAAGCTTGTGGGAGAGTTATGTCCTGGATACTTCAGGCTAGTGGTTTCCAAAGTATTTCTTAGTAACACATCTCCTCTTCCCCAGATATACCTTGTATTGAGGTGAGGCTGGCCTCCCACCCCTGCAACTCTGGGAGGCCTAGTGCTCTGAGGACCTGGAAAAACCACATGCTCGGAAGTATACCTGCCCTAGGCAGGCTCCCTGCAATGGCCCCCGGACATCATCCTGGAGGGGGCTCAAGTCAGTAGAACTGTTACCCCTACCGTCCAAGGTCACCTGAGGCTACCCTTCTGGGAGAACATGACTGGAGTGTGCAGGGGCAGGAGGCACGGTGCCACCCCCAGCCCACCCCAGACTGGCCCCTGCCCCTGCTCTCTGGAGCACTACCCTCATCCAGGGCACCCAGCCACCCACCACCCAGATCCCTGCTCTGGGCTTACTGGAGACTGTGAGGGTGTGAGGGGGGCAATGCCACAGCTTTCCTGGGTCCTCGGGGAGCCGGGCGGGCTGGGCACTGGGGACTGCTCAGGGCTGGAGCCTGCAAAGAGAAGGCAAGTCACTCTGCACAATCAGGGTGGGGTTGGCGGCCAGGCCCCAGGCTGGGGAGGTGCTCCATCAGTCCTTGCTAGGCCAAGGCTCGGGGCACCCGGCTGTGGAAGGGGGTGTTGGGGAGAGGGCAGGAAGGACACGACTGAGGAGAGGGGAGTGGTGGCTGAGGGCCTGTTATCGGTTAGAGACGACCTAACTCTGGAGGGTGACCCATGCTTCACCTGGGGACTCACAGTCTCCTCAGCACCTCTCAGACATATGGGGGGAGGGGAGAGACAGAGAAGCATTGTGGGAGATGGAGTCCAGAGATAGGAGGGCGGGAGAGACGGGGCAGGTGAGCTCCTGGGGTGGGGTTAAGGGTGGAGAAACCAGAAAAGGTGGGGGAACTACATACCTAACTGAGTGGGAGGTGGGGCTGCTCCCCTCCCCCCTGAAGCTCAGCCACATGGTTCTAATCAGAACCTGAGGGAGTCGCCCCCCTTGCCCTTCTCAAGGGCCACAGACAGGCCCAGCTGGCTGCCTGGTGAGGATCAAGGAGGTTCAGCACCTCTCCCAGCCCAGCCCTGAGCTGAGGGGTGTCCAGAACACTAGGAAGTCGAATTCCAAGCCCCCTGCCCCCAACAACACACATACACCTGGAGTCAACGTTTGGGGGCAGGAGGCCCCACTGAGACCCTCTCACAGGCACAGGACTGACTGGACCTCTAGTGGGAGGAAGCAGCGCAGGCCCCGGAAGGCAGCCCAAAGCCTGGCTTAGAAGCTCAGGCAGCTCCAGGGGCAGGAGGGCCTGCCTGGCTGGACATCCCCCAGGTGTGGGCCGGCGGCTGGTCACCACCACCGGGCTTTGCTAAGGCCCTTGTAAGGGATACTGGGGCTGCCCTGAGATTCATGCAGGGGGACAGGGAGGCTGATGGGGTCTGGCGTGAAGACCCATGGACAAATCAAACAGGTCTGTCTGGTTTCAGGCCGAGCCAGGGCAGGGGCCTGTGCTCCCTCAGCCGCAGCCGTGAGGCCCTGACAGGTCCCAGAACCCCCTCCCCAGCCTTGGGGTACCCCGGGAACACATGCGAGGGGCCAGGCATGAGGGGGACTCTAGGAAGTGCATGGACAGGCTGGAGTCTGTCTTGAGGTGCTGGAGGGGCAGGGACATGGTGGTCACACTCTCAGGGCTCCTTTTTGTCAGGCGGCCAGCACAGGCTTGGGCTCTGCCACCAGCTCCAGCTCCAGAGGCCAAGTTGCTGTGGCTTGAGCCTGGGAAGAGAGGCAGGAAGGAAGGCCCAGCCCGCCAGATCTTTGTGAGTGGACTTCCTGAGGAGTGTCCCTCCTCCCTCCTGGCCTCCCACTCCTGCAGAGAACCCACTGCCTGCTCCCTGACCAGGCCACAGACAGACACGCATGCACACACAGAATTCTGTGCATGCACACCCACCTGCAGACACACACACTCTCACACAAGGTCCTGTGCACTCAGACCTGCCCACAAGCACACACACACACACACACACACACACTCACACCAGGTCCTCTGAACACAGACCCTGCACAAAACACATGCACACAAATACAGCACCATGCACACCATGCACACAGACCCGCCCTGCACACACACACACACACTCATAGACGCACAGGGGGTCCCGTGAACAGACTTGCCCTTGTGAGCACGCACGCACACACACACACACACTCACATACACAGTCCTTAGTGCATCAACCCTCCCTGCACGTGCACACACACACTCACAGAATGGCACTCAGGAGCCTCGGTTGGGAGAGGTCCCCCTGGGCAGATCAGCGGTGGGTCTCAGTGCCGGGGTGAGTGGGGTGGCGGGTCAGGGCAGAGATGGGGGGGGTCTTACCAATGTACAGCCCCTGCAGGCCCATCTCCGGGACAGCCAGCATCTCTGCAGGCCCCGTGGCTCTGGACAGGAACAGACAAGCAAAATGGCAGTTATTTGTTCCTTTGTTCCCTCACTGAATGCTTAATTTTATTTATTTACTTTTGGCTGGAGTCCTTTGAAGCAAATCCCAGACATCATGTTGTTTCACCTACAAATTCTTCAGTTTGTCTCTCCAACAAAGACTTTCTTAAAAACATCATCACAACACCATTATCATGTCTAGCAAAATTAACAGTAATTCCCTAATCTCATCTAATGCTCAGTCCCACAGTCCCAGCTTGTCTCAAAAATGTCTTTTTTTTTTTTTTTCTGTGAGGAAGATCAGCCCTGAGCTAACATCTGCCTATCCTTCTCTTTTTGCTGAGGAAGACTGGCCCTGGGCTAACCACCCATGCCCATCTTCCTCCACTTTATATGGCTTCCTCCACTTTATATGGGACACCGCCACAGCATGGCCTGACAAGCGGTGCGTTGATGTGCGCCTGGGATCCGAACCCACGAACCCCGGGCCACCGCAGCGGAGCACGCGCACTTAAGCGCTTGCGCCACCGGGCTGGCCCCTCAAAAATGTCTTTTTAACAGTTGCTTTGTGGGAATCAGGATGCTCCTAAATGTTTTCAGGTACCTACTCTGTGCCAGGTGGTGGGGAACATCAGTGACCAGAGAGACAGAGTTCCTGCCCCAGGGGCCCACAGCCTGGTGGGGACACCGTTCATAATCAAGACAATCACACAAGTGAATTTGAGCTTACAAACGATGCTGTGAAGGTCACTGCTGGATACAAGCGGGGCCAAATGGGGAGCATGGTAAGGCTGGAGAGAGGCCCTCATGGACCCTATTTTAGAGTTGGTTTTATATGAAAGGCAACAACAAATCTTGAAAGGTTTGAGGTGGCAGAGTGGGGGTGGGGGCAGGACTAAATTTGCGTTTTCAGAAGTCCCTCTGGCCGCATGGGAGCGTGGATTACAGTGGGGCAACACGGAAGCAGGAGCCCAATTGGGGCTCCAGGCGACAGATGATGGTGGTGGCTGTGTCCCTTGAGAAAGAAGTGGAGACACTTAAGAGACAGAGGTTAAAACCGACAAGGCTGATGGGGGGGTGGCTGGATTGGATAGGGGAGGTTAGGAAGAAGAAGGTGTCAAGGAGGACGTGGTCTGGTTCAAGCTAGGAGAGAAATGCTGAGATGGAGAATACTGGAGAAGGGCAGGCTGGCGGGGGAAGGGGGCAGTGTTCTGGGTGCAGTTGTGAAACTGCTGAGAGAACGTACCAAGGAGCCAGATGCCATGTGATCTCAAGGTCAGAGAGAAAGCTGAGGTGGAGATGTGCGTTTGGGAGTCATTGTCACGGGAGGCTCGGCAGAGAGCAGAGAAGCTGCGTGTGAAGGCTGCCTAGAGGAGACGAAACGCCTGCCATGGTTTCATGAAGATCTCCCTAAGAGGAGGGCGTGAAGCTAGATGCCTATGGGAGTTTGTCAGACGACTGGAAACACCTTGTTTTAATGGCAGGCATCTCGGTGGAATGATGGAGATGGGGTGGGAGTCAGGTAAGCCTAGGCGAGGAGCCAGCAGAGGGTGAGAGAATGGACCTAGCGCTTCTGAGAAGCTTGGCTAAGACCAGGAGCTGATGTGAGGGCAGTAGCTGGAGGAACGTAAAGCAAGGAGAGGCAGGGGTTTTCTTTTCCAAGATGGGAGGAACTTGAGCTTGTGTCTGTGAAGTTCTGGGGGCCAGGCTGGAGGCAGCGTCCTCCAGGTCATCAACAGCTTTGTTACTCAGTGTGGTCTCAGGACAGCAGCACTGGGCCCCCTGGGAGCTTGTTAGAAATGCAGACTCTCAGGCCCTGCCCTGGGTCTGCTGTCAGAACTTGCATTTTAACAAGATTCCAGGTGGTTCGCTGCACAGTAAAGTTTGAGAAGTGCTGCTCAATGTGTCCCTGGGCCAGTCTTCAGATCACCAATGCTCCTGTCCTCACCTGTGGGCCTGGCTGCCCCCCTAAACAAAGGTGGGGGCTTCCCAGAGCCCACTCCCTCTCTGTAGCCAGTGGCCCAATCAGGAAGTTTGGCTAACAGAACACAGGCAGACACAGAGCTGGGCATTGTCACGCCCATACATACACATGCACACACTCTCGCTCATGCACAGTTCACACAACCTAGCCTTGTCGTGGACACCAGACATGTCCAGGATACTCCTCCATGGCCAGTACCATGGAGATTTCCAGACACACCCAGTCCTGCTGTCATTGGAGGCTCACAGTTGGATGCCCAGGAATCAGAATCAAGGGGAAGATAGAAGCTGGCCGTGGACACTCCTAGAGCAGCTAGGTGATGCTGAGAAAAGGAAAGCAAATAGAGGGCTGTACAGGCCTTGAGAGCCAGGGACACGAGCCCAGCTCAGGGTGATGGAGTGGCACACTGGAAGTGGTTCCCACCTGCTCGCAAGAGCTGATTCTGTGCATCTCTTCCCAATTCTGCATTCACTGACATCACACTGGTAGCTTGAAATCAGCCCTGGTGGGAGCATTTACACCACAGAAATTGGCGAACACTACAAATTAGGTTTTTCTCTCTCTTGGAGAGTTGATAGCAAAACATGGACCAGCACACCACGGGATCAAGGCCACAAGGGAGAAGCTGGCAGCCGTATTTGTACATTGTTTCCATTCTTCAGCAAAAATTTATTGAGCATTTCTTTGTGTCAGACTCTGGCTAAGTGCTGGGGAAACACAAGGTTGAATGAATGAATGGATTTTTTGGACTTAATCTATTGTATTTGGAGGAGAAACAATTTAGAACCACCAGGAAAAAAAGACTCAGGAGCCATCAATCTAAGCTGGATTCCACAACCATACCTTGCGCCTATAATCTCCCCAGCTCCCTGCAACAAGGCCACTTATCTCCCATCTCTGAGAGTGTGATGCACTGGGTGTCCCTACACTGGGGTCTTGGGACTGGCAAGGGTCTAGTATGGCACCTGGCTGACATGCATCATGTCACCTCTCTGTGTCTCAGTGCCTTTCCTGTAAAATGGGTCACACAGGGGGCTTGTAAGGACCTACGAGTCCAGGTAAAGAAGGTGGTTGATAAAGGCAGGGAGTTGGCCAGATATGAGCAGTGTTCTTTCTCTTCAGGATGTGATTCTGAATTTTCTTTTGTTAGAAGTTTTTGGTCTTACTGAGACTTTTATTCTAGTCACTCTGAGTTCTGGAAGGAGGGAGGACCTGAATCAATTGTGTTAAAGAAGGAGGATCCTGGGCCAGCCCCGTGGCTTAGCGGTTAAGTGTGCGTGCTCCGCTGCTGGCGGCCCGGGTTTGGATCCTGGGCGCGCACCGACGCACTGCTTCTCCGGCCATGCTGAGGCCGCTGTCCCACATACAGCAACTAGAAGGATGTACAACTATGACATACAACTATCTACTGGGGCTTTGGGGGAAAAAAAAAGGAGGAGGATTGGCAATAGATGTTAGCTCAGAGCCAGTCTTCCTCAGCAAAAAAAGAGGAGGATTAGTATGGATGTTAGCTCAGGGCTGATCTTCCTCACAAAAAAAAAAAAAAAGGAGGATCCTACTGATTCCCTGAGAGGTGGAGGTAGAAGAGGGCGGTGGCTACGCCCGCCCCGTAGGTCTTCGGGACACCCCTCACATGCGTACATGCCCACACACCCAGACACATTTAACGGGAACGCTGACCATGGGGCTCAGGACAGCCTCAGCTCCCAAAAGTTATGTCTGGGCAGAGTCCACAGCTGGAAATGGGGAGAAGTAGACTCCCATCCCAGGGACCCACTAATTTCAGAGCGGTAATGTTTATGGGTTTGAGAATAATTGGGTGGCGCAGTTTGATTTACACAGTAAGTAACTTCGTTTCCTGGCTACAAGCACATGCCAAACTCGGTCTCCAGCCTGACCCCTACCCTGCGCACGGACAGACTCTTAACTTGGCCCGTGGACTGACCCCTAGCCCTTGGCCTCATACTGACCTCTAATTTTCAGCTTCACCCTGGCCCCTGGCCCTGACTCCTACCCAATAGGCATGACCTATGAGTCACTGGGGACCAGGGTGTGGTGGAATAGGGACTCGAAACGGGAGACTCCCATCCCAGAGTGCCCCCCAGACCTACAAAAGCCTAGGACTTTTTGCCTGAAGGAGAGAATTCACCAAGGATCTCTTCCTGGGGTGGGGATGTTAAGGTTGGGTACTTATGCCCTCTAGGCACTGGGGGTGTGTGGTGTTGCTGGATTTCAGGGCTCCACACATACCTGTCCTGTTCCCATGAGGACAAAGAGCCCACCCAGATCTTTACAGCTCCCCCCCTCCCCCACAGGCTTCCTTTCACTGGGACCCTTCCTTTCCCATCCACTGCTCTCCACTCCACTCACTTTAATGGCCCTTTAATGGAACAGGACTCTGTCAGCAGGAAAAGAGAGGCCACAGGCATTTCTCCCAAGCCACAGATTGGGCCAACGAAGGCCCAAGGGACAGATCAGAAACCCCAAAGGGCTGACCCAGTCTGTCTCTGGAGAGGAGCCCTCCAGGAGAGGGACCAGTGGGAGGCTGCCTCCTCCTGTGCTAGGGCAGGGGGTGACAGAAAATGGCCTCACATGGCCCCTCCCTGCCCTCAACTTTTCTTTCCATATATCCTGCCCCACCCCCGTGAGTCCTAATCATGGGAGCAGCCAGTTCACAAACAACCTCTATCCCACACAGCCCAGGGCTTGCAGCCCCTCCCATCCTCTGGCCCCCAGTCCCCCTCACCTCCCTTACCTTCTGGGGCTCCAGGGCTGCCTTTGCTCTCACCGGGAGTCTATACTCTCAAGCTCAATCCCTTCCTCTCTCTCCCCCACACAAGCTTGACTCATAGGTCGGTGCCACTGCCCCCACAGAGAGCCTAGACCCCACTCTACCTGGACCCCCAAGCTGGCCTCACAGACAGAAACAGAGGTCCCTGGTCAGGAGGCCAGCTCACAGCCTCGAGACACTGGCACCCCGGCCACCCAGCTATTCTCCAACTTGCCGGAGCACAGAAGTAGTCCCCCTTCCCAGGTGCGCCCCCAACACACACACCCAACTCCTGGGTCTCTACCTCAGGCCTAAGCACCGTTTCCTCCGCAAATTGGCTCCCTCGAGCAGCCCCCAGCCCGGCAGGCACAGGAGTCCCTCCAGACCCCACCCTCCTCAGAGCGCGTGTGGGGTCCCAAAGCCGGGATGGGAGCCCCCGGTCGCTTCCCCAATTGCCCGCCCGAACCCGCAGCCCCTCAGCAGAGAGGGGCTTGTAGATCTGTCCCCAACGTGGCCCCTCAGGGTCGGGAAGTCTGTGGTGGGGTCGCAGCCGACAGCCGGGGACAGGACGACAAACCCAGTCGCTTTCCTCCTCCCTCTGGGATCCCAGCGGCCCCCCCCCGCCCCAGCACTCACCTCCGCCCTCCTGACAGCTCGACCTCTGTCCAGCCGCCTCGGTGCCCGGATCGCAGCCGGTGGTCGCGCCCTGCCGCTGCCGCAGCCCTCGACG